CTGCTGACAAGCAAAACTTGCCCTTGGATGTGTAAGCACGTCTCAGCGTCAGCTGGGATCAGTGTATTCACTGAGGGCAGAACAGAACATCAGAAGAGAAAAAAAGATGTTTGTAACTTTTCCACTTGCTTTTTCAGTGCCAGTGATTCAAATGACTTTTGATCTTGAAGTATTAGCATCAAATGCATCTTTTTGTATGTCTTTTTGAACTTGGACTGTCATTTTAAGATTTTTTGACATTTATATATATATTAAAAAAAAAAAACTTGTAATATTCAGCCCACTACTTAACTGCAATTTTGCTACAGATTTAATAGTTCTTGAAGGTGACATAGCACTTCTAATATCTCTTAACTTGCCAGCAAATAAGGAACTAGTCTCTTTCAGTGTGGCAGATCACCCTTGGAGGAGTGAACAGAAGGTGCAAAGGAAACTGGCCCTAGTGCTTCCTTTTTGATAAGCCAGGAATGAGCAATAATGGGGAGTGAAACTGCAGTTCCTTTGGAGTGATCCATTTGCATCTGAGTTTAGGGAAGTTCCTTACCACTTCGAAGCACTTGAGAATAGTATCTCACTGTGGTAACTTTGATTTTTATTACCACCAGAATGGGGGGAAAAAAAAAAAAAGCATAAAAAATGTTTTACTGTACCATAACTTTTTTTTTTTAAAGTAGCTGAATTTCTATTTGGTATACAAGTACACAGTTTATTATACAGGCTGTTATGGTTCCCAAGAGAAGGTGTTTCTGTAGGTATAGGCATGTAGATATTTTTGTTGTGGATATGATTATCCAGAAAATGAATCTACTTAAGACATTCTTTATGGAGATGACTTCACCACTTAATTTATCTGGTAGAATCAAAAATGACTTATCTGTGGTAGGGGTAGGGATCTTTAAAGCTGGTAGAGACGGCTATGTATGCAACCTATTTATATAAATACTTCAAGTATCTCTTGACGTGAAATGTGGATTGCAAATATGTGAAAGGGAAAATACTGAAGAGCTTTTGTCCTTAGTTGGGCCAAGTGAAAATGGCAGAGGTTCAGGACCTGATCCTGTCAGCACACACTGAAGAGCACTGCTGCCACTGCCTGAAGTCTGACATTTCTGCTCAGGCTGCGTGTGGATGTTTGTACCATTGGAGCTGAGCAGTGACTGAGGGTATTGACCTGTGTGTTAAAAGTTACAGAAAATGTTCAAAGATGCACTTGTTGGTATTCTTATGGTAAAGGTAAGAGGTGTCCTTATGCTCATTTGGGTGGGAGGGAGCTTACACAGTGTGGTTCTGTCTGGTTCTTTAATACGAGCTTACATTTAATGGCGTTACCTTAAACACATTTGTAAAAAGTATTATTGTTTGAGAAGCTGCTGTTTGCTGAAACTGTCACTAAGTATTTTCTGTGAAGTTGTGCCGACTAATGGAACCACTGAATTGGTTTCAGTGTTTGCCATGTTGAGACGAGACGTGGCGATATGTTGATGGAACAAAAACCAGCAGATGCAAGCCATAAAAATACGTAACAGAGGGCTCTGCCCCACCCTGCCTATGTAAGGAAATGTAAGAATGTTCAACCCCAAGCTTCCACTCCAATGAATGGTAACAGTGAAAATAGAAACCCAGTTGGCACAGCCCACCTTCTCAATGTTCAATAGTTCATATATTTTACTTTCAAATAGTCTAATTAGGAAAGCTGTTTAATCTTTGATGTCTTAAAAGATTTATGGTAATACTTAGGTTAAAGCAGTAGAAAAATTATGAAATACAATATGAAGGGGTTTGTTCCATTTCTTTTTTTTGCTGTATGAAGGATAATTGTTCTGTCTACCGTACTTTTTGGAGTAATAACAGCTTTTTTGCACTATGTAAATACTAGTGGAGATTCTTCCATAACTAATAAAAATGATTGTAGAAATTGACGGCTTTGGGTGATGTGTCTTTTTGCAACTGGGTTCTCCTGAGGTCAGGTTGGGGTGGCAGAGCAGCAGCCCTGGCTCCCAGCTCTGTGTGGTCTGTGAGCGGGGGATTTCCCCCAGCACAGTGCTCAGTTGTGTTCTGTCACACAGCATCCTGTGCAATAACTGGAGAAATGTAATACAGAAGAACCTGCCGTCCTGCAGAGATCATCAGGCTGACGTAGGTCTGAGATATTGTCGTGAAAGTAACATTCTACTTAAGAGGAATGAACCGCTGTCATCCCCCCTCAAAATTAGGGTTTCATGCATTCTGAGAATTGGAGTCGCCTCCCTTTGCTGCCCTCTCCGTGTGCTGCATTACCTTGGGAAGCAGCAGGGCGCTGGAGCACCTTGCCCTGTTCTGCAGTGACTCACTGGCACTGCTCACGCTTCCGCTGCTAACGGTGTCATTAGCTGGTTTTGCAACTCCTACGGGTGAGAATATTTGTAGCGATTCAGAAAGGACACGGCTTCATCCTGTAATTTTGAGTTTTCTATTTCTGTGCCTTCGCCTCCTCTTTCAGTTCTGCTTCTGCAGTTGTCCTCTCTTGAAAGTGCTGCTGTGACAAACGTTAGACAGCAAGCATTGCTGCTCTCAGAATCGCTCGTCAAACCTGAGTTCTGCATGCATCTTCTCAACCCGAGACAGACTTTGGAAACCTGTGTAACTTGTACTACGGAAATAACAAAATTAATCGCCATAAAGCCTTACTGACTTTTCCCTCTCTGTCCCCATTTAAGAAATGTTCAGCAGCTTCTACTGATGGTTATTTTTAATGACACTATAGTAGGGATTACACTTTGCACTGCTGTGCATAAAGCAGAACAACCACTGCAAAAACAAAATTGTCAGTGATGCGCTGAAGGCCTTAGGTGCAAATGTGCTTGCAGCAGTGGGAGCTCTCAAAGGGTGGGTTTGTGCTGACGGGTTTTCATCAGCGATGGCTGAAAAGGCCTGACCCAAAGCACACTGTATGCAGCTACCATTGCCCTTCATGGTGTGGGGATGGATCGGGGCAAGGAGGGGGCTGCAATGCCTGTGGTTTGCAATGTCAGCTCCAGTGTGGTTCTTTCAGCTGAAGCTGAGGGGTCACTGCCCCTTCACCATGAGGGCTCTTAGAGGTGGTGAGGTGAAGCTGCGGGTAACAAGAACTAGGCTGAGCCCATGGAGGAGCGCTGCTGCTGGTGGAGGGATGGATCACATTCACAGTAAAAGGCAATAAAACTGACCCTGTGCCACAGCTTCCTTTTGGATTTACTATGGCAGCACAGTGCCCAGCCTGGGGGCTCTGAGAAAGGCAGCGCAGGGTGGCCCAGTGGTGCTGCTGTGTTTGTTCTTTCCAAATGTGTGCCAGTGCATTGCCCTCTGGAAAAACACTTTTAAGCTATGTGAAGTAGGTAATGTTCCCTGCATGCTGGCATACAGGTGCTGAGCCCCCTGATGTCGTAACAGCGTGATCATTTCCAACTTCCTTTCAAGCTGACTGTAGTTCTGTGCTGCTGAAACCTGTTCATAGGGAGGAGAATTCTGCAGGGATTGAGCTTGAGGCTTTTTTTGGGCTCAGCTGAGGTTTGCCTTTGCTTCCCTCCTGCTGCAGATCTAGAGCCAGGTCGTGGCCGCTGGCTGCAGGGCACTATGGGACACACAGAAGCACATTGCAGGGCTGCCTGCGGCTTCTCCCACCTGGCTGTAAGCAGTGCTGGGCTCCTTTCTGCCTGCAGCCATGCGTGTCAAGGGGGATGTGTGCAGTGTGCTCAGTGCACGTCTGCATGAATTAACGCTGCTGCTGCTATTTATATGGGGTGGGGGGAATCCTCTATTTGCTCCATATGTTCTGAGGGAGGTGCAGAGCTCTGCTGTGCAGGCCCAGCTCAGAAGCAGCACCGAGCTGCTGCCTCCAAGCCCCATGAGAGTGGGTGTGGGGCAGCTCCCCCGCAGTGCAGCACGGTGGGAGGGGGTCAGAAGGCTGCGGGCACCTGGAGGCCCTGAGCAATGCAGGCAGGCAGACCAAGCGTGAGCAGCGCCCACGGGCTTCGTGTGGGCCTCACACAAGGCAGAGGCCCGGTTTCTGGAGACTTGCTTGTGTCAGTGCTTAAAGGCGCTTTGTTCTTGGGGTGGCTGGAGCTTGGATTCCCAGCATCTTCAGCAGAAATCTTGTTTGTAGCTCTGAGAAAATTAGCTTTTTAATCAACAAAGGCATTCTTCTTTTGCCCTCCACCCCCTCCCTGGCTAATGTTCCTCGGACAATGCCGCTCTTTGCTGGTTCTGTTCTCATGCTTGTATGTGCATCCTACTGCCGTAAGCAAAAAAACCCTTCCCGCGCCACGCCGCTGCCTGCAGCTGGGGTCCCCTGGGCTACAGCTCTTGGGCTGTTGGTGATGGACGGGCCGTCGTGTTATTCTTTTCCTTCCAAACGTCCCCTCCCGCCCTACCCCCGAAGGGGCGTCCTTTCGCCCCTCTCACCGACTTCGGGGCAGCACCGTCCGGAGGCCCTCAGCCCTCAGGTCAGGGCTGCAGGTGCAGCGCCGCTCCCAAAGGCGCCGCCGCTCCGAGTCCCGCGCACGGAGCGGAGCAACGGGAGCAACGGGAGCAACGGGAGAGTTCCGCGCGCCGCAGGAGATGCGGAGTCCCGGCGCGCGCGACCCCGCCGCGCTCCTGCCCCGCGCCCCCCCGCACTCGCGCGCTGAGGGCGCGTGAGCCGGCGGCGGGCTGCGATTGGCTGCCGGGAGCACCCCGGGGGCCGCCGGGCCGCGGCCGCCCGCCGAGCGCCATTCACGGCGCTGCCCGCCTGCACGCGCTGAGGCTCATTCACAAAAAAAAAACTTCATTCATAAAAGGCGGCGGCGGCGGCGGCGCCCAGGGCTCGGCGTGGCGGGAGCGGCTCGGGCGCTGCTGTGTGCCGAGGGTACGGCGTGCGCGGGGCTGAACCGAGCCCGCGGCGATCCGGCGCTGAAGGATTTTGGAGCAAGAATTGGCGAGCCCGAGGCTGAGAGCTGCTGCGGGCTGGGAGGGCTCTGCTTTACGCGTGTGCGGGCAGGAGCGGTGCGGCGCGGGGGCAGCTGAGGATGACGGCACCGAGAGCCGCGCACCTGGCGGGGCTCGAGATGCTCTGGAGGTGCGGCTGAGCGCGGGGCTCGCCTGCTGTGCTCTGCTCTGCCCTGCCTGGGTCGCGCTCGGGCCGTCGCTGCGGCCAGTACCTGGCGGTGACATCCCGGCCGTGAGCGCCCGGTGTGTGGCGCCAGGGGGGACAGGGGCTCGGGTGGCATTCCTGGGCGTGGGCTGCCGCTGCCCGTGGGACTGCACGGAGAATGCCGGCCGGCCGTGCGGCTGGAAGCCTCCCGCATCGAGGAAAATACGCTGCTTGGGAGGGAGTCGGCAGAAATCTCTGTCAGGTTTCCATTTTTAACGTTGTTTGACTTGCCTGCTTTCCGTCTGATTTATTCACAAAGGCGATTTGTGCCCAAGGCTCCGGTTACCGATCTGCCAGGGCTATGAGAGAGCGCGGCCCGCAGAGCCTCTGTGCACACGTCCTGTACGTGGGGCTGCTGCGACACCCGGGGATGCTGCACAGGGCCAAGTACAGCCGCTTCAGGAACGACTCCGTAACGTCTCTGGACGAAGGGCCGCAAAACATCAAAGGTTCCTCCTCCTCCTCCCACCCTTCAGCACCCAGCCTGCTGGCAGAGGACGTCCCGCTGGGTCCGCAGGACACCTGCACCACGCTGTGCGCGCTGATCCCGCGCATGGCCAACATTAAACTCGCCAACCCCTCCGCTCTGCCCGGCCTGAAGAGCTTCTGCCTGGGGAGCAAGGAGGTGCCGAGGACCAAACTGACTGAGTGCGTCACCGTCCCTGGCGGCCCCTCCTCGCCTGAGCTCGGCTGCCTCTCGGCCTCGTACCCTCAGCCCGGCACGGAGGGGCCACACCTGACCGCGAGGCCCGCGGGCGGCTGCGCCGGGCGGGGAGCGGCGGAGGCGGTGGGCAGGCTGGGAGGCAGCCTCGTGCCCAGCGGGGAGAGTGCGGAGGAGCCGGGCACAAGCTACGGTGTGAGGGTGAGTACTGAGCGCGGGGACCGGGCGCTGGCACAGGGGTCTGCAGGCTGTACTGGTTAGCCTCTGGTCAGAGACAAACCCTGTGTGTCTGCTGTTTAATGATGGATGTAGGGCTGTGCTGAGGGCCCGAGGGAGTTAAAAGGAGCACAGCTATCCCCAGAGGTAGACAACATTAGTTGCCATACAGGCTGTCCTTAGGGTCTTGGGGGAGCACAGCTGAGCTGTGCTGTAAATGAGGTCACTCTGAAATGTGTGTTGAGGGGGAAGGACTGTGGCAAGGTCCCATCCCTCCCAGCAGCTCCGGTGCCAGGCAGGTGCTGCCTCATACTGTGACATCTGTCAGTGCTGGGCCCAGCATTGGCCCTGCAGCCCCTTCTGCATGGTGCAGGATGCTGAGGCTGCCCTCCACTTGTGCTGCTGGGCTGCACCCTCTGCTCTGGGCACAGAGAGCACTGCCTGTTCCTCCAGAGGACACCCAACCTCAGCTGCTCCGGGTATTTCTCACACTGTGCTGTCACTGTTGGTGCTGGCTGCTGTCAGCAGTTGCTGGCTGTGGGGACCATGCTGCTGGATGAGTCCCTGGGCTCAAGGCTTTGCTTCTTCCACCCATGTCACACTCGGGAACTTTCTTGTTTTCCATTTTTCCTCTCTGGATGTTTAACTTCTGTGCCCAGACCTTGCCAGGTGGAAAGCCAATGGCCATTGCTTCCTTCTCCACACTCTGAACCTCTGACATTGCACATCAGAAGGGAGAAGAACAAAATGGGGCCGTGGCTGTGCCCACCCTTCCCAAGCAGGCAAGCTACTGTGGGTGAGGTCTTTGGCTGTGGGAGCTGTGGGGTGAGCGTCAGTCAGGTCATCAGCTGTGGAAATGGAAATCAGAGTGCAGTCATCTTCATTTGACTTGTTAAAGGCAGCAGTAGGAGGGAGCTTGTACTGGCTGGGGTTCTCTGAGCTACCCTTGTGCCTGTTCTCTTGTGCTTGGCTTCCTGTAAGGCCCAGTGCTGATGTGGGCACTTGGTACTTTGGCACCAGCGGTGGCTCACTGGGTTAATGGGCACACAAGTGGTACATGGCATGACAGCACAATGCCTGCTGGGGCTCCCAGTGCTGGTGGGCAATGTGCTGGTGTTGTGGTGTCACGGTGCATGGCCTGTGGCACCTGCCTTTGTATGGTGTCAGTCACAGCCAAGGCTCTGAGGTCCCTTCAGGGCTGCAGGATGCCCCTTGATAGGGGGGATTTCCCAGGTCCTGTATGGGCTCGTGGGCAGAGGCAGTGAAGTGTTACCTGCTGGGAACCACGCCGACCAGAAAGGAAAAGGAGAAGCAAAACCAAGGCCCAGCGTGACAGGAAGGTCCAGAGAAGTGGTGAAGGGGGCTGTCCCCTTCTGCTGCTCCCCAGGTTGCTGTTCCAGTGCGTTTTCCTGCTGTGGAGGTCAGGCTGTTTCCCAAGAAAACATCTTTGAAGGGCTGACTATTAGGGGCCTCCCAGCACAACAGGGAGATGTCCTTCTGCAGCTCTGCTGCTGTAGGAGACCCAGGGCTACAGGAGCACTGCTGAAACACATCCTGATGTGCTGTGTCCAAACCCAGTGGCTTTTTGATCAGGTATTTCAGAAAGACAGTAATTGCTGAAGTGATAAGAAGCTTTACATCAAAAGTGGTCACCCATAAATTGGAAGGAGGCAGAAATTATCTGTCAGGTGTTGCTTCAAGAGGTGCTAGCAGTGGGATTCCCTGTGTGCCCTGTGGTGTGACTGCAGCTGTGCACAGCAGCTGGAGATGCCACGTGTGTCTCACATCACCTGGACTGTGCAAGATGCTGAGCCCCCTACCTGCCTGCTCCTCCAGCCTGCCTGTGTGAATATCAAAGAGCCCAAGTAGCAATACTGAAGCAGGAGCCAGGACAGAGCTTATCTCTGTACCGCTATCTTTAAGAGTAGAGTGAAGGCCCGGCTGTTCTTGCACTTCTCTGGCAGGAAGGAGATCAGCTCTGGTGGTTCGTGGCTGCAGAGGCACAGCTGTGAGGGGTGAGCAGGGCTCGGGGTGCTGGGCAGCCCTCATCCCACAGCTGTCACCACCTCTGCCTTAGGGTAGTGGTTCTCTGTGGGCTGCTCACGTGTGCTACAGCTGCAGGTGCTGCTTTGGGTTCTCTTTGAACCGAATCTGCCACAGCCCTTGTCGTGCTGCAGTGGTGTGGGATGGGCTTTTCAGATCAAAACTGAAAAGAAAGGGAAAGTGTGCATGTGTATATGTTTGTGTGTATACACTCATTGAAAATGTGTTTGTGTACATATGTCTGTATGTATATACATACATAAAATCAGGAGCTTTTCCCTGTTAGTTGTTTTTTCTTTCCCTCAATACTTGTTTAATCTCAGAATGGCCTGGGTTGAAAAGGACCACAATGACCATCTAGTTTCAACCCCCCGGCTGTGCACAGGGTCGCCAACCACCAGACCAGGCTGCCCAGAGCCACATCCAGCCTGGCCTTGAACGCCTCCAGGGATGGGGCATTAAAAATTGAAAACTCACAAATGAAAGGGTCAAACCTTCCCTGGAAATTTTCTATTTAGCAAAACCCAGACTGTTTTCCAGGCTGTTCTGCCTGTGCTCTCAGGCCCTGCCACGGTGTGTGGGTGCCACGTGCTCATGGCTGCTGCATGCGTGCGCTGTTTTCCCCTCCCGGCCCCATCCATCAAGGTGTTATTCACAGCAATCAAAGCAGAGCTCCCCGCTCCCCACCTGGCAGCCCCGGAGGAAAGAGGGGTGGGAGGTTCAGAAATCTCTTCCCCTTACTTCAAAAGTGCCTTGTTAAAGCAGGTGCTGGGAAAATTAAGTGCTTGGATGAGAGAAGGATTCCTGACACCCTCATTTGCACACAATACTGCTGCTCATGATTTTTTTTAATGTTTTTTTTTTAAATGTTTTTTTTTTTGCCCAGGTAACTGTAATGTTTTTAGGGAATCCGAGCAGCATCTAACATGCCTTTGGTTAGAGGCTGTGTAGCAGCAGCATTGCTTCTACTAGCAAATCCTGCCACCTGGATCCTTTGTTCGATGGCTGTGGGGTCTGTAGGAGCTGCCCTCGGCATTATGCATGAGTTAATGCCTGTTAACTAATAAGTCAAATCGTGAGGCTGCAGCTGTATTGTTTAATTAGGAGCTCCACGAGCTGTATCGCTGCTCCTGGTGAATCACTGGCTGTCATTGAAGCTGGAGCCACTCACTGTGTTGTGGGAAGGAATGCAATGAGACGTGGGGCTGTGTTAGAGGGTGCCTCAAAAGCTTATTCACGCAAGCCCTGCCGGGTGCATTCACATCTCCTCCCACGCAGTCCCTCATCCTGTCTGCAGTCACTCTCCATCATCTCTTGCAGAGAGATGTGAAAAGATGTGCATCTTTAGAAAGCAGCCTTCTCTCCCAGCCCCGGCAGTGTAAGAAAGCAGAATCCATCCCCAGCTCTCCCTCCCCTTTGGATGCTATGGGACGGGGCTCCTGCAGGACAGCCGTTCCCCATCCCACTGCAGGGAGATGGGGGCACGCTTTGCCATGGGTCACTGCTACAGGAAGTGGGCAAGACATCTGTGGGTTCAGCATCCACCCTCATCAGTGAGGTCAGGTCCTTAGCAGCTGGCTCTGTTCTGCGTTGGCGTTTTCTTCAATGGAGGGGTTAATCATCCTTGTGTAATTTTCACTTCTTTTTTTCTTCCTTGGAGATATCTTTTGTTTTCTCTACCAGGCTTCCAGCATCCCATTGTTCCTTCTGAGTGCTCCCTGGGCTTCTTCGCAGCTCCGTGACCCCGATGTCCTCCTCCCCAGCCCCACTGCTTCCCCCCGCCCAGGGATGTGGGGGTTCAGCCCTACAGACCATGCTCATTCAGATGAAATAAATGAGGGATGCAGTGAGGTACAGTGTTAATGCACTTCCTTACTCAGGCTTTTAAAGAAAGGAAGAAAAAAAAAAAAAGAAGGCCTTTTGTGAATCATTGATAAGTTGAGCTTCACTCAGGGTCACTTATGCAAAAACCTAATATTGATTTTTCATCTTTGCTTAGAGCAGCTTCCCACGCATCTGCTCAGGATGCAGCAGGGACTTGCTTATCAGTGCATGACTCACCTCCTCCTCTAAGTCTTGCTGTTCTCAAGGATCGAGGGGCACCCAGCCAGCTCACAGAATGCTTGACCTTATCCTGTAGGACCAGAGGTCTCTGCCGTGCTGTGAGCTGAGGCTTGAGGCATATCTTCCACGTTTGCTTTGTTCCCGTTAAGCAGGAATATCTTTAACAAGTAAGATAGCTCTCAGAGTCCTTTACAAAGTCATTAAATGTTCATTAGGGAAGCAGTTCTGCAAACCCTTCAGATTCTTATTGATGTCCTTCCAGGGCTCTGACCTAATTCTGGAGTTCTCCCAAGGGTTGCATTGCTATTTGGAAAGAAACCAAAACAGGGATATAATACCATTGTTGTGGAATCCCTGCTTGACTGCGCGCACACGTTCTCTTTTTAACACAGTCATTTCTGGAGGTCTCTGAAGCTGGAGCAGGCACCTGCATTCACCTCTGAGCACTGCAGGAGAATCCATTCACAGACAGGCCGGTGCCTTTCTCTGCACACAGTGCTGCTTCTGTCCGTGTAAAACGAGGGCACAGGGCATGCAGCTCCTGCCTGAGGCTCTCTGTGATGGATCCCAGAGGCTGTGACTCCATGCAGGAAGGCTCGGTGGGGCCGGGCTGTTGCAGGATGCTCCGTTCCCAGATGACTGTTGCAGTGTCAAACAGGGGATGCCAGATGGGAAGCACAGATCTGCATTTGAATAGTGGAGGGATGGCTATCAGCAGAAATGATAAAGGAATGGGTAAAATGTTTTGGAGAGAAGTAAGCTCAGTGGCTGGAGTTAGCCTGGTGCACTTCATCGAGATGAAAATGTTCCGTAGGTTTGTGCAAAATGTCAGAGGGTTCTGTATGGTCACAGATCATCCAAGTCTTGATGTTTCTGAAAATTTGTCCTACATAAATCCCAAATAAGTATAGAAAAAGCCCTCAGCTGTGCCCCATACAACAGAAAGGTGGGACTCAGCCTCTAATTTAAGGCAGTCACTTTGTGGTGCAGGCTCTTAAAGAGCTGTTGCTAAGAGCTTGAATTGCAACTCTGCCTCCTCCATCTTCTGCAGAGGTTGGATATTTGTCATCAGACCTGCAGCAGCAGGGGGCCGGTGGTTTTCCTCATGCCTGGTAATGCCTCCCACTGCTCCAAGGCCTCTGAGTGCAGCGGTCCTGCAGGTGTTCTCTGCACATGGGGGAATTTCGCTGCAGCATCGATGCGTTCCTCCCGGCTCAGTGGCACAAGTTAATCAGTGACAATGAGCAGAGTTAGGAAAGAGGAAGGATTGGATTTTGTGTCCCCCGAGGGCTTCATCTCTTTTTTGTGCTGTGTTGTTGGAATTGCTGGTATCTTCCTTGCTGTTCTGCACACTTTTCAGTAAACCTTCATCTATTTACGAAGCTGCTTTGGAACGGCTGATTTGATTTTCCACATAGATTGTAGTTCTGCGTAAATTCAGTGGGCTGAAATCACACTTGCTTTCTTTTCTGACCTCCTCTCAGCTGTTCTGCAGGTGTTAACATAGCCATCCTTTGTCTCTTTTTGTTCTCCACAGTACATGGGCTGTATTGAAGTGCTGCAGTCAATGAGGTCCCTGGACTTTGGCACACGAACACAAGTCACCAGGTAGGCACTCCTGAATGGGAATTCAGCACAAGAAAGAAAAGCCTGAGCACTTATTTCTGTATAAAGCCACTGCTGTGTGCCAAACCCTCAGACTCTTTTGAATAGAAGTTTGCATGGTTTGCTTTGCTTTTTCCCAAGCGATGACTTGAATTACGGGTCATTACAATAGGCTGTTTCCATTGTGAAACTGATCGTTTCAGCCACAGGCTGAATTTATTGCCCAGCCCTTGTTTTGGATGCAAAGAGAATCGCCCTGCAGTCGCAGCATGGTACAGGCACACCTGGTGCTTGGTATTGGCAGCTGGGCCAGGAGCCTGGGCTCACCTGGGGCACGAGGTGAACATGCAGGCTGTGCCACAGCCGTGCTGCTGCTGTGGCCAAGGCACAGCCTGGGCGCTCCAGGCATGTCTTCTGCTGCCTTCTTCCTGCTTCACACTTGATGCAAGGTGCTGTGGGTCCCTCCATGTAGTGAGGTCGTCTCACAATTGATTGTTGGCAGGTCCAGAAGAGAACAATCCGCTTTATTTTTACCTTTAGTCTTGCCCTGTATGCAGAGTCCTTGTGTCTATGAGGTAGCACATGAGTGCCTTTCCAAAGGGGCTGCTGGAATGCACCCGTGGTCCTGCAGCAGAGCTCCCTGCTCTCCGGCCCCAAATGCTCTTTGCAGAGAATTTTTGCCCAGCTGTGTCCATGTTCTCTCCTCCTCAGCCTTTTTTTCTGGCTCGGCTCATGCTGAGGATGCCAGAAGTGTGGTTTAGGGTTCCTGTGGCTGCCCGGCAGATGATTTACAGATGCTCTTTTGCTTCTTCAAGTGCTCATATCAAAGAGTGTGGAGGCAGGAAAGGTGCATGACGAGATAAGTGTTAAACATCTACCTGTTGTCTCCCAGACTTATGAGCTAAAAGGAAGAATCTGCACAACTTGACTCCTTAAATGCTTATATACTGCACTCTAAAGCAGTCAGATTTGTTGTAGATTCAAAGTCAGCAATTGTTTACATTTAGTCAGCACAAGCACCGTTCCTGAACGCGTATGTGAAGAAGTGCCTGAGATACAAGTATAGTTCCACTCCCCTGCCTAATTTTTTACCAACCCAAAGGAGAAACACAGTAGACTTTGCACAGATAAATCAGTTTGGTAGATTCAGACACATGCACTGTGTTCTTCAACAGCACCAGCCAAGAAGTGAGGTTACCTCCCATTTGCAAGGCCAGGGCTGTGCACGTTGCTACACTGACAGAGCTTTGGTCAGACTATCTGAAAAATGCTGAATATGAATTATTACCTAAAGAGAAACTGCCAACTTAAATTTGGCCCAAATGGTCAGGTTTTGTTAACCAAGGCTATGTGAGGAGTTAACAATGGAAATAGTTCCACCACCTAAAAAAAACCCATGCCACTGCTGACCTTGGGAGACTCTTTTGTGTATGAGAAATTCAAAACTTAAGCTGTTTGCAGACTGCCTGTTGAAGGGCTGTGTGTGCATGCTAGCTTTAAAGTTCGGTCGATTACGTCCTGACTGGGTGACAATAACTCTTGATTATTCTCCCATTGTTCTCCCAGGCAAGTCACTTTATGGATGCCCTCCACAACACAACAGTGAAGGAGTTATTTGAAATGATTCCATTTTAATAATCTGTGTTATTTTTACTGGGGATAAAAACATATTTTTACTCTGACGGCATTTCACTAAACAAAGAGCCATGCTCTGTTTGAAAGTGATGTGGAAGGAAGGTCAGTTTAAGAAAGTCCCTTCTGCACCAGCTGTAGTACAGCATGGGTCATTTGCATTCTGATGAAGCAGTGGGACTAGAGCCCCTGTGCTGTGGAGGTGTCTTCCTGTCCATCCCATGCCTGCCCAGAGCCCAGCATGCCCTCCCCTTGCCCTTCAGTTCTTTTTCTCTTTCCCACCTCCCACTTATGTTAAATCAAGCTCAGTGATTGTATCTAGGCATGTATGGGAAAAGGGATTCTGTATCCCAGGTCCAGGCAATAGCTCTCCAACTTGGGAATGGCCAGGCAACATAGCTGGGGCGAGGGGCATTGCAAAGGACTGGTGGGATGGGTGCTTGAAGAAAGCTGACTTTGTTTGGAAGATTAATTTCAACTTTGTTGAGACACACAATCCCTTTCTGTTCGATGGTGTAGGCAGAGGCCTCGATGCTTAAAAGCAGATCTCCAGCAGCATGCTTGCTCGCTTACATCAGCCCCTTGCTCTTCTTTTGCTCTCATTTGGGGAAACAATCAACAAAGTGCCTCTCTGTCAGCACCAGTGCCTCCTCTGTGGCAGGGCTTGTTGCAGAGGTGCAGCCCTGGAGGATGAAATCTGAGTTTGAGTATACTGCTGAGATGACCTAAAGGCTCACAGGTGCCAAAAGGGGGCTGTCTTTGTCACCTCTCATTGCCCACCTTGCTGCTGGCTGCTGAGACACCACAACTTCCTTCTGCTCTCCCTGCAGCACCGGCTGGCTGCACGGGGCTCCATGGCTGAGCCCCACAGGTGTGCAGCGCAGGAGCTGACCCAAATCTCTCCCATTCACTATGGAAACAAAAACTGTGTCAGCTGCCAGTGGTCAGTGTGTGTAATTGCATGGACACTGCAGGACTGGCAGGCAGGGACCTCACTTCAAATGGCAGAAGTTGCCGAGTTGTTGAGGGGCAAGATTTTCGTTGCCTTGAACTAAACCGATTTAAATTCCTCATGGCTTTCCCCATTTAGTTCTGAGGCTCCCAAAGATGAGAGGAGCTGCTGCAGAGTGCACCAGTGGAGTTATCTCAGCCTGTGTGATTTAAAGGAAAACAAACAATCCAAAGTGCTTTGCCTTGGGATGTGTGACAATGAGGAGAGAAAGGAACAACAGCAACATGATTGGAATAATAAGGACACATTTGCTGCTGCTGCCTCTGATTGGCAAATGGAAAATGGAGAAGCAAATCCCAGAAGCCACAGAGCTGCATTTTCATCCATAGGTTAACTGTGAGACCTACAAAGGTATTTGCTGTCTGGCAGATCTAGAAGACTTGCCCAAGCGAGTGACTGACAGTGAACGGCTGTAAGAATGAATTGAGAGCGTGTTTCCAGGAAGAAGGCATGGATACAGTAAATCCAATTTCAGTTTATCATGGATATTCCCAGAGTTTCTTTTCTTCCTAATATATGGTGCAGGTTCCACCTGCCCCATGGAAGTGACTGAAAATTAGAGATGTTCAGGTCTATCAGCAAGGTGTTATCAAATGCCTGCTTTTCACCTTTAAAATAATATATGAGAAGATCTATTAAGTCATCTGGAAAGCCATCTGATGATATGAAGCAAGGAACAGCTGTGAGAAGATGATTTCCCCTAGGAAAGAGAGGAAATAGAAACTTAATTAGAAATGATTTGCCTATTTTTTGTTCCTGTTTGTTGAACAATTGCATAGCAGAGGGGTGAACTGGGCAGTCACAAGATGTGCTTGTACCAGAATGGGATCTGCTGCTGACAGCTTTGTCTGCAACTGAGTATTCCATACAGGATGCTTGAAGTGTTGGGGAACTCTTTTGTCACCACAATAGAACACTTCTCTGTTTTTTCTAGTTTGTTCGGTTTCTGGTTTTCTTTCTAGGTAGAGCTAGACTTGAAGGCCCCAGGTAGCCTTAATGTCTTGTCTCTGATTTTAATCTCCTTTAATATTGAATGAGAAGATGAGCTTTCATTTTCCAAATAGATCATTGGAATCTGCAAGATCATCCTGCAGGGTGCCATTCCTGTTTCGGTTAGTTTTGCCCTTTCTGCCATCAAAATAATATCACCAAGCTAAACAGGAGAGATGTCAGGATTTCACTTCATATTTTCAGTTGTGCAGGGGAAAGTGCTTTGTTTTAAAAAGATAAAAAAAGAGGCTGTGCTTAAAAGGTTGTGTTTGTAAACTGAATCTGATCTATCTCATGCAGTCCACTGCGATGCTGCTCTTCCTCCTGGCTGCTTTCACTCAGATTGCTGTTTGTACACTTGACAGGCTCCAGGTTTCATTTCTCAGGACCTTCTCTGACAGGAAGCCTCCTTTTAACATCAGTGCTGTCCAGTGCTTTGGCTACGGGTGCTGGCAGCCCACCTGCTCCAGCCATCCTGCAGCATGGGGCCTACCTGGCCCACTGCCTGCCAGCGTGGCTCAGTGTCTCCAGGACATTCTGCAGGGACAGCACGTGGAAAACTTGCCCCAGCAACATCTGTGATTGCTGGGTCATTGAGATAAGACTGTCAGGTCGGATCCTGGAATCCATGGCATGCTGCAGCAGAGCTGACCTTCCCTCATCTCCAGGATGTCCAGGAATGTTAAGGAAATCTGCTGAACACACCCCAACCCCGTTGGTCACCATTTTTCCACTGGTTTCCAAACAATGACTGTAAGTCAGGGAAAAGTTGATGGCTGCCAATAAAAGATTTTTTCGCAGCTGCTGTGCTAACTGCCCTCAGGACGCCACTCTGTTTGTGGGAAGCATCACCTGGCTGACCATACATCAGAACTTGCTTTGTTGAAGCCAGGAAAAGAGATGCAGCTTGTAACAGTTACATTCAGTGAGAAAAACAGCTGTCTTTGATACAGCCCATCAATGCATTCTGCCTTACATTTCTGCTTTCTGAGGTGAGAAGCATCTATAGAGGTTACTGAGTGGCTGGTATAGGACACCTGATTTGGGAAATAGCTGCTAGAGGTGAACTAGGACCTCTGATTTGCAAAAATGTCGAGAAGCTGAACCTCCTAACCTCCCCTGTGAGCTGTGGCATTACAAAGCACTGCGACAGAACCCTTTGCCTAAGAGAAGCAGCTTTGCAATCCAGCTTCAGCTGAGCAAACCATGCACCTTGAGAAGAGAGAGGAGGTCTGTGCAGCATTCCCAGAGAAAAATCTCCTGCCCAGAGGGATACAGCACTGCTGGCAGTGACACTCAAAGCATTTTCTTTGCTGAGTGTGTAGCTGTCTAACCCGCGGTTTGGCCAAGGATATCACAGCTTGGCAAAGAGACATGCTCTGCACAGCCTAGATATCAAATGCTGGAAGAACTGTCACACCTAGCAAGGGCAGAACTGGGAAATGTTCAATCATAACTCCCAAACAGCGTAGGCTGTGCAGCAAGAATGTTCTTGTGATATAAATTGTGGGAAATTTGCTGAAGTGCAGGTGAAACATTGCTTCTGTGATTTCTTTCTTTCTTTTCTTTTCTCTTTTTTTTAAAGAGAAACCCTCCCTCCCCCTAACACCAGAAAGCCCATAAGGGCACCCAGCTGGGCTCACTCAGCACACCCCTGCTGTTCTAACAAAGATGGATTAAGGCAGGTAGGAATGCTGCCTGCCAGCCTTCATGAGAGAAAGGACTTGAAGGCACGAGATCCTTTGAGTTTCATTGTGGTTAGCTGGTTTTATTTATTTATTTAGGAACAAAGAATTGTCATTAGGTGACACTCGTATATTTTATGAAGAAAAGGAATGAATCCAAAGCAGACTGGTGAATTATTGTGTTTCATTAAATAGGTTTTTCTTTTTAACGCTGGGAGGGAGAAAGAAGGAAAAACAACTGTGAAAGACTTTCCAGAAGATTTAAGTGTTTCTAAGTGGAATTACAGCAATAAATCACAAGGTTGCTGGCCCAGTTACAGCTGATGCATGTCAAATGATCCAACAGCTTGTGCTGTGTTTTTCTGTTTGTAGGGAAGCAATAAGCCGACTGTGTGAAGCCGTATCAGGTACAAATGGAGCGATAAAAAAGCGGAAGGTAAGTACCGCTTCAGCTGAACAATTGCTCTTCTGTATCTGCTTCTGACAAGCTGGATACGTGATTCCCCAACGAGGTTCAGCCCGTGCTGGAGTTAGTGAGCGTCAGTTCACCTGAGCGTGCTGCAGAGCTTAGCCTGCTGCGTTCTGGGGGCAGGGCTGTGCAAGACCTTCCTCTTTCCAGGGTTAAAGCTCTGCTCCTGCCAACCTCTACAGTGCTCAGCGGTTTCTAAGTTTTAAGGTTCTGATCGCTGAAGTGTAGGAGGCCTTTTGGATAACGGAAGGGAGCTCATTCGTCAGAAGGCTACCTGGTGGTTATTTGTATTGCAAATAAGGAGAAGGGCAGTGTTGAATGGGCCTGTCGTTTGCTTAACTGCTGGCATGCAGAGAGGGGCAGTGGAAGTGGCTGCTGTGGGGCAGTGTTGAGGGGAAGTTATTGGTTTCCTTCAGTAAGTGTGGAGCTCAGAATGAGCAAGCACACTCCTGAAGAATGAATACATGAAAAATTTCCTGATTTACTAAGGAACACTTCATCCTCAGAAAATGAAGCAGAGTTCACTGGGAAAATTAGTTGTTCTGAATTCCTTAGCTAGCTGTAATATGTAACTTTCTGGGATTTTGTTTCTTTAACACTTCTTTTCCCCATTATTGACGTAAAAAGCATTTAATCAAGTGTGATTCAAAGCTGATGTTTGTCAGAAGGTCTATTTGTCATAATCAAGCCGTTATCCTTGTTCCCATTACATTCTCAATAAGATGCTGTAAAATTCTACTTGATTCTGATATACTTCTGCTGCTAGCCAAGCCAGCTGACAATGTCTTTCTTTTGTTTCTGTGTTTAAAGCCTCCGGTTAAGTTTCTGTCTTCTGTACTTGGCAAAAGTAACCTTCAGTTTTCTGGCATGAACATAAAGCTGACCATTTCAACAAACAGCCTCACACTGATTAACACTGACACGCAGCAGGTAGGCTATGTGTAAACCAGGGTCTTTCTATCCTTGCTACCATATTCTCCTCTTTTTGTGACATTGGAAAGATATGCAGGGTGCTTGAGCAGAAAGCAGCACCCAGTGTCTTCCCATGCACACCTGTTGAAGCTGACTTTTAAAACAAGAATATTTTGGGGTAATTCAAGATGTGACACATGCCCTTTTTGTTTGTGATGGTGTCTTTTGTATCCAGGGATCTCTGAGCACGTGGCAAAGTGTTTCTCTCTCTGTCATTCTCTGTACAGTGCCTAGTAAACAAGGTGCTAATCTTCACTAGGGTTTCTGACAATCCTAGAGTAAAAATATATATATATATAAATAATGAGTTAGAGCTTAGCTTTGCTATTGTTCAAAGGTACATTACAGCTGGGTAATATATGTGCATCATCTGTTGTACTGTGTAGATTCCCCAGGCTCTGTTGGGGCACAGTCCTGGGAGTCTGGGTGTGCTCTGGAACTAGAGCCCGTTCCTTTGGCAGATGAGCCCAGGAGCTTTGTGTTGCCCACCAAATTCCTCCTTCAGCTCCAGCGTGGTATCTGCCAGGCCAGCAGTGGGTTTCCTTACAAGCTGCAGCAGGGGAGCAGCAGGGAGGTAGTTCCAGCTCTCTGGCTCTGAGGACCTGTTGCACAGACTTGATGCTGTCCTGAGTGCTGGGAAGCTCCTGTGGCTTTCCTGGGCTGGGAGGACCTATGGCTTGAGGTCTCCCTTCCTTCAGCTGCAGCAAGCAGCAAAGGGCTTCTCTATACTGGAGGAAGCTTTGGGAGCTGGCAGCTGAAGTCTGGCCCTCTCAGCTCTTCCTTTTCTGCTACAGGACTAAAATCTGGACAGACAGATCTCTTTCAAGTGTACTGACGTGTCCTGTTAGCATGCACACAGGTGTTCGGAGGACTGTCTTGAAATTCTTCTAGGTCTTTCGTTACTAGGCCTTTCCAAGCTGAAAAATCCCGTGTTCCATTCCTGCACTGCCACCATGTTTCATTGTATTCCCACTTGCATAATCTTTTGCACTTGATTTTATAATAAAAAAACAGCCCGTCTCCAGAGATGAGGGAGTGTTTTAAACAAAGTTTGTGCTCGATCTAGCTAGCAAAAGTCCTATCACAACAGTGTGGTGCTAGTGCTGGGAGAGAAGATGGTCTGAGCATCAGTGGGCACTGTTTGTAAAAATGCCACTGTTATATATGCTGTGCATTTAAATAAGACTAACTACTGGTCATTTTGAACTGAATTAATTTCTCAAGAATTTATGAATGCATTTAGTATCTTCCATTATTCTCCTATGAAACTCTCATGTAGGCAGCTGTGTATTCACAAGGTTAGAAACGGTGTCTGAATTCAATCCAAAAACCCTTTCAGGATCCAGATATTATCAAACATGAATGGACAGTCTCCAAAAATATTCCTATTTTAAGCTTTTTCCTTCACAAATGATACGCCCATGGTTTATTAATAGATGGGGTTGTCATGAACTGAATTGCTTGCTCTGCTGTTTTCTAAATGCACGTGAGCATGTTTAACTAATTTGTCATGCTTTTCAGATTATTGCCAACCATCACATGCAGTCCATCTCATTTGCTTCTGGAGGTGACCCAGTAAGTATTGATTTGTAAGACTTCTGCAGGTACATGAAATTATTATGAGAATAGAAATACCTGCAAATACTTTACTTCATTAAGCACTAACAGAGTATGCCATGCTTCTGCATCATGACCAGGAGTCTAAAATAGGCAGGGAGTCTGGGACAGGAGTTTTTGAATGGAGGTTCAGCAGGGATTTGATAGCTAGGTAGAGTTATTGTTCCCACCGCCCATCAGTGAGACTAGGGTCACTCACAAGACCACAGACTTGGGAACCTGAAAATAAGAATATATGAACGTGGGAGTTGCATCAGTTCTGAGGTCCCTGTAATCCAATGCTGTGTTACAGAAGAGGTCAGCATCAGCCTCTCTAAATTTTAGATGAATTTCAGATAAACAAAGCTTCTATAAGATGGACATGACATTATTTTTCTTGCAGATATGGGGTTTTCTCCCACTGTAATAGTTATGAACTCACTGATGTTATCATGCAAGAAGTTTTCTTTCCTCTTCCAAATCTTTCATTGAAATTATTGTGAGGAATTTGTCATTCATAAACATGTCCTATTCCCTTCTCCAGTGTCAGCAAGTTCCCAGCGTTCTGAATTTCACACTCTATGTGTTATGAAAACTGTATTTTTTTAAATCAGTTTGGAATTTTCTGCCTTTCAGTTTTGATAAATGTCTCCTTGTTCTTGTGTTATGAAACAAAGGAGTAGAAGCCAGATCTAGCTTTGACTGGAAAATGACAGATTTGCCTCTTTGGATTTATGACCAGGCAAGGGAAAATAGCTGAGAATCAGCCCTGTGTGGTGGGTGGAGAGCCATGGGGTGATGTAAGGAGCCCAGCTGCTGGTGAGGTTTTGCCCGAGCTGCTTGAGAGCAGGAGCTTCCTGGAGCTGGGGAGCGAAGCAGGGATGTGGGGATGGAACATTGTGCAGGCTCTGCGCTGCCAGTCCTGCGCCCAGCAGGGAGGCACCGCATGGAGCTGGTGCCGAAGAATGAGATCCTTAGGGATCCCGCTCACAACCAAGGCATTTTGAGAGGTCTGACTTTCACCATGAGGTGCTCATGCTACCCTAACACACTGCACTGCGCATTACAGTCCTTTGGCTTTGCAGACCCTTCCTGGTATCTCCAAGTGCTGCCGTGCTGTCGTGCTGAGCATCACGAAGCTTCATTTCCAAGTCCAGTTTTCTTGATAGTTAAATAGTTTATATATATATATCCTTGAACTGTCCTATCTCTGCAGTATGTACTGTGCCCTAGAAGCTGGCTGTCTTAAGTCTGTCTTTATGTCATGTCTCAGCATAATTCAGGCAGGGATATATTATTTCCAGCTTTATTTTCCATAGGACATGTCTCTCTAACTGTCCCTGTTTTCAAGGTCTGAGCACAGTTCTGTGTTGCTCTGCGCTGTTAAGGAATGGCAGGATTCTGTTCTGGAGGGGGCTTTATTTTAAAGCAAAGTCATCCATGCAGACACTTAAGTGTTGTAAAGATATAAAAATAGCAGGTACTGCTCCAGTTGCTTCAGTTTTCCAGTTACAGTCAAGACCTAATTTATTTTAAAAGTAAAATATCATAAAATATTCATAAACCTTAAGAAAAACCTGGGAGGAAAAGAAAGGAAATTGAGTTTTCTAAGTGCAAGAGAAATATTTAGCTTTCTTTGCTTTAATGATATTACCTTGGGAGATTTTTTCTTTCTGAATGATCTAGGACAAGATCTGCTGACCCTAAGATGTGCCTCCTGTGTCATTCATTGTGAATTATTAAATGGATGTTCTTGTGCATATTGCAAATGGGGCCTTTGTTTCCTGCCAGCTGACTGCATCTTTCCCCAAGAGAGCCGTGCCTTTAAGCTGCCAATTGTGTTTTCCCCATCCCCATAAAGATCCAAAATAACAAAATGCATCTTTAATAATTAAAAGAATGTTATTCATTATCTCACCGTTGTTACTATAATGTTGAATTATCAAGCGACTCTTTGCTTTTGCAATATGACTAGAAATGTTAATCTGTCTATTTCAGATCCCGTTTCAGTTTCACAGGAGAAAGTGATTACTATTTCGGCACTAGCTGTGAAGAGAATCTGTAACAGACAACTGATTATACTGAGGTTGTCTGATCTCAGCAGTGGCCTTCAGATCCGGAGTAGTTTAACTTGATGTTAACCACGCTGACATAGGCAGCAGTGGTTGAGATGGAATCCCTCTTGCCTTCTGTGATATTTTAAATAACATCTTTTCTCTAAGATGCCTTTGGAAGTCAATCTCAATGCCACAAATGGTGAAATTATTACATGGTCTCTGCAGCCTTTTCACACTTTCAAGTGTTCCATGGACATCAATGAGGGCTGTTCCAGCCAAAAGATGTGGCTGGAAGTCACGTTGCCCTGATGTGTTCAGCACTCTCTGCTGATGAGGCACCAGCTGAGTTTCTTCTCCCTTGCAGAGTATGAAAACACAGTTTACTGGAAACCCAAGGAACGTGAAATGGTCTCCTGCATTTATCACAAGAACAAGCATTACTGCACAATTACTGTGTCAATATCCACCACTGCATCGCTGATCTTTCCCTTACCCCCTTGTGCAGCACCTCCACACTTTCTGAAACCTATTTTTAAAGCTAAGAATATCTCTCTGTGTACTAAGTTGCTTTGTTATGGTGATAAGGTTGTTCATAATGATAACTTTAAAAACGTTTGTCTTCTTCTTTGCTGAAGGATACAACGGACTATGTTGCATATGTAGCAAAAGATCCTGTTAATCAGAGAGGTATGGAAGAAATTTTCAAATCATTATGTATGTCTTTATGATTGCTTTATCTGTACCAAGGACTTGCTTGAGTTTTGTGATGAGAGTTACTGAGCAGCTCAAGATTCTATACAATTTCTAACTTTGCTGTGTGGATAGGGGTGACAGTTTGCATGCAGGCTGTGGCTCTAAATTCTTTGTGCCATTAAGTGGGGATCTGTAGGTCAGACTGAACTTGTGCCAGCTGCTGGCTCTGCACTGGGACAGGGTCTTTCCCAGCACAGACAAAAGGGGTTCTACCTTGCCTGAGGAGGAGATACAGGGGTGTTCTGTGCAGGAACCATAAATGGAGTTTCTTTCATTGAGTTGATATCATGCCTTAAATAAATTCAGAGCAACATCCTTTGCATGTCAAAAAATCTCAGTCCTGACTAATGCCCTAAGGCTGCCTAGGTAGTCTCATGCTCAACTCTTCTGCTCTAAAGAATAGAGATTGATTTCTTTTTTTTTCTTTTTTAATATAAAGGACATTTACCTAATTAAAGCAAGGTGTCTCTTTGCAGCATGCCACATACTGGAGTGTCCCAATGGGATGGCACAGGAGGTGATAAACACCATAGGGCAGGCTTTTGAGCTCCGGTTCAAACAGTACCTGAAGAACCCATCCAGCCTGGTGACTTCTAATGAAAGGTCAGCATGTTCTCAGTCACTGACTTCACTGGAAGTTTTCTTCTCTTCAGTACTTCTCAGAGAACAATTGCACTCCAAAGAATGATCCATAAATAAGATGTCTAGGTGATGCATTCTGAATGTATGCTAACTGTAATACACGCTCTGTGTACATAGAGTAGTAGAGTAACGTCAACTTATTCCAGTGAATGGCACTGTTTCCAGTGACATTTGTACAGGTGCTTAGTTAAAACTGTTGTATTTCAAGTGATGCAAGGAAATGGGACAAATGTTCAAATTATCCTGTCCTTACTTGGGCAGGGTAAATGAAGTGGAGAAGTTTTGCTCTATAAATATGGTGCACGCTGAGCTCAGTCCTGAGCTGTGCCAAGTTTAAGCTTACTGCAGCTGTGGGAAGTCTGTGCTGGGGATGCAAGCAGTTGTAATTCACCTCTCTGCTCTTCTGCTCGTGACCTGGCAGAGACCTGCAGTTCCACCTGCTGCGAGTTGAGTCAGCCTCGTATGCTGAAAATCAACCCAGCCACCACCAGCATTTTAAAGTATGAAGTCTTGTCTTCAGCCCATTGCTCATACTGTGGGACTTAGGTTAACTTTCAGATTGCAGTTCCCCATTTCCAGTGCACTGGACACACAGTTCTTGGTCTGACATATGGCTCTCTCTAAGGAGCCATGTTTTTCCTTTATTGATGCAGAATTTGATCCCTTGCTACCTCTCAGAAACAGATAAAGCTGTAAAACCACCTAGCTGCTTCCTGAAAACCAGAATCAGTGTGCAGGCAGTGTCACTGGTACAGTGCCTGAAACAATGCAGTAAAATTGGTTTTATTCCTTGGCAGCAGTACCACCTCCAGGTTACATTTATTTTGTCATATAGTGTTTCTTGGCATTCCACTGCTAATACTCAGTTTACCCTGGAGACAATAGCCGCAGGAAGAGTCTTTGCTATGAAACTCTGAGAAGTTATGCCAGGAGTAAATCACAGAAAGGAGAAATGGAAGATGCTAATTAAATTCCCTCCTTGAGCTGAAACCGCAGCCAGTCTTGGAGAATGGTCCTCAGACAGAACTCGGATATTGCTGTGTGAATGAGTCACCCACCTCCAACTACTATGAATCACATAATCAAATACTTGCACTGCATATCACGTAATCAACTACTTGAACTTTATCTCTTTCCTGCTCGAGGTCTTTTATCCAATTATATTCTTGTTAAACAGAGAAGTAAGATTTGAGATGAGGTTTTTATTTCGGGACCGGAGATAGTACAGGAAGCACCTAGTTATTTTGCAGTGTATCAGCTGTACATTTAAGCTATCGTGATTCTGTTCTAGCTCAAGAAAAACGTTGGGTACCATCCTTCGTGTCATTCACTGTTTTCTTCAAGCTGAAACTGAATAGTCATATTGTTTCTGATTATTAAAATCAGAGTGCATTCCATTTAGGATGACTACATTTTTTTGTAGCAATGTTTGTTTTTCTGAAACAGTTGCAGGCTTGTCTTCCTAAATGCCACATGAGGTTTTAATTTTCTTTCGTAAGTCGTGTCACCCCCCACTCCTGCCCCCATCCCTAGATTTATATAGTTGAGACGAGAAGCCAGAAGAATCATTCTTATGGTCGACATTTTGGATACCTTTGTGAACAGCACATTGGTATCCCAGGGATCTGGGCTGTCTAGTGCCAAGACAATCCCCCTGAAGCCTGAACCATGGTGATTCCATTTTCAATTTGGAGAGAATTAAAGTAAACAATTCTGACAGTTGAGGCCCAATCTCTGTTACGACCTTTGTATGGCTGATCTGTGCACTGTGTGATGCATGAACACTTGGGATGTTTGCCTACATTAGAAAGCAGTCGATAACATCAGTTGCTTTTATTTCCACATTTGTTTCAGTGAGGCAGTGAGTGCTGATGGATCAGCTGGGAATTTACAGGAGAGGGAGGATCATGAATATTACAATGAAATTCCAGGGAAAGAGCCTCCCACTGGTGGAGTATTAGACATGCGAATGAAAGTGCCAACAGACCAAAGGTCTGGCTGTTTTATACAGTGCAAAAAGCAGCACTGCTTGGTAAGTATATCTTCTGATAGAACTATTCACTGCCTGTTATGGGAATGAATAATAAAGTGTTACTGTGGTGTAAAGCATTGGTGTTAACATCAGAACCAGGTTCTGACTATGCTGGGAAAGGGTTTTTTTTAGGCAAGATTTAATCATGTTTAGTACATAATTGAGTCCCAAAGCACTTTCAGAAGATTAACTGGTTTGTCCTTAGAGTACTTTTAGGAGATGGAGTAATATCCCCTTGTTAACTTGTTAGCTGTGAGAAGGAAATAGATACAGACCTGAATGGCTTGTCTAGGAGAACATTTACAAAATCTGGGACTTCCTGACTCTCAGTTCTATGATCCAGTAAATATTTCCTCCCATCTATTATGCTCTACAACCTATACATATGATATTAGCTGATTGCAGTGTATATGCAGCACTAGTTATGTCTGGAATTTTTGATGAGACTCCATTGAGCTGCAGTAGCTACAAAAAATGGTAAGAAAAAAAAAAAAGGCTTTTGCTCGAGGTAGTCAGGAATAGAAAACCATTAGGAGTAAAACCAGCAGAGTTCAGACTTGCTGTACAGACTTCAAAGTCCTCTCTGTCTGTTCTTGGAAACACCAGCATTTCCCCATTCAGTGAAGCAGGCACCATCTTTGCTTACAGGGTGCACGTTCAAACAGGCCTCCTGGCAGCTGGTAGGTGTTGCTCAGGAAGCTGCTGTTCCCAGGTGTGGTTTGTCTCTGAAGGCACTATTGCCCGGCTCTGTCCTGTTCTCCATCTGTTTTCCAGTGTTATCTTAAATCCTTGCTGTAGGCCTGGTAGTCTTCACAACCCTGAGTTTGTTTCTACAGCTCTCCAGAGTCACTGGGAATTATCCTGCAACATGTAATTGCACTTGCCTTCTTTCCATGGGGTAAAATATTATCTTAGGAGATGGGAAAGTTTTTTGGTCTTTTTATGAAGAATTCAGTTACCCGGATCCCAGTTAACTGGTGCACAGATGTTATAACATTATGTGAGGTTTCCAAGAAACTATTGTATGTGACCATTTTTACAATTTCTTTGCAGACAGGCAGCCCGACATCCATCAACGTATATGAAAATTGCCCAGAAGAAAACAAAACCATGGGTATGTGCTCTGTTTTCTTTCACATGCATATGCGTGAAGTAACCAAAGCAGTCTGGCTGTACGGGATGCCCCTTTGCTTTCAATACAGTGTTGAAAAGTGGTCACTGAGTAGGTCACTTCTGGTTTGCTAGATGAAGGGCAGACAAGAAAGCCTCACAGATTTTCAGAAGGGCACTAATCCGTTGTCGTGTCTGCTGGCAGAATTACTCATTTTACTTGCCATGACACTGTACAGTAGCTCTCTGTTGTTTAATTCTCTTTCATATGCCTTGAAGAAGGAGGATATTTCTTTGCTTTAACAGTCTCTGAAAATATCCCTTCCCCCTACAAATACTGAATTTCTGTTCCAGTGGAGTCTGTGGCCTTGATTCCAGTCTGGGTTGTCTGTTTAACTGTGCCCATCCCTCTCCTTGGGGAGCTCTGTGGCCCGTATCAGTCCCACTTTGGAGAAACCTGCTCTCTGGTGCCCCAGGGGATCACTACCCTCCATCCCCTTTTGGCCTTTACTTGCTACATCCGATGCCCTGTGTGTGTTTCCCCAACTCATCTCTTCTACTGCTTGGTGACATTCTTCTTGAATACCCACCTGCACTGCAATAAAGAGACAGGTTACACTGTTGAAGGAGGATGGTTCAATTCCTTGTGTTATTGCTGATTTAAGGAAAGGAGAACCAAATGATTCTAGCAACGAGAGGGTGAACAAATAAAAGAATAAATGAATAGATCTCTGACTAAAATGTTTGCTAAAGAGCAAAAATATGTGTGCTATTTGGCTAGCTGAAGTGGCATTATTTTCATATCCTGCAGGGAATATTCTGTTAACTTGTTTCTAGGCTGGGATTCTAACCTGACAGATGTGGCTTTGGCTCTCCATGCAGTGCCACAAAAGCACTGACTTCCCCATTCTCTCTGCTCCACCAGAATAGCAAGAGAGAATTGTTCAGTTTCCCACAAAGCTTGTGGTACAGAGGGGAAGGAAGGGGCTTTGCAACAAACAATGCATACAGCTTGTGTCTCTGTAGAGTCATATGTATTAATTTCTTTTCAATCAGCAGGGGATTTAGTGCTGACATTAACTGAAGCAGAACTGAGCCAGTGTGGAACATGTTTGAAAATTTCATTCTAACTTTGAATAGCGTACCTTGTGCCATAGGAAAAAAACAATTCATCTGCCAATTTTTGTTTTCCTTACAAAGGACTTTCATGGGATATACAAGAACAGCAACATTCATGTTCCATTTTTTTGCAGTTATTTTAACTTGAGTTTAGAAATAATAATAAAAAAAAAGGCATCTGTGCAGACTATACACTAATTGCAGGTTCTTGTGGTGAAAGATCACAGAAGACAAAGAAAGATGCAACATTACTGAAGTCTGCCTACAGAACAGATCTTTTCGATGATCCGTGTTACATCAACACGCAGGCCCTGCAATCTGCAGTCTGTGCAGCCCGGGGTACAGCAGCAACGCAGATCGCTGGCAGCCCACTGAGTCACACAAGTAGGTTCTTCTTGTGATACTGCGTCTTTCTAAGCTTTGAAAAGAGGGGACTTGGCAGCCATGTGCATGGAGAAAGAGTTTGGTTTCCTCATAAGAAATATAGGAAGTAGGGGTGCAGTCCTTCCTAGTGGGTTTTGTTTGTTGTTTTTTTGTTTGTTTGTTTCTTAAATACAAGACAAAGGAGGTTGAAAGTGAAAAGTACAGACAATGAGTATTTGGAATAATCCTCCATCTTCTGTAATAGTCTTGATTGGTGACAGTGAATAGTATCACATTTTCCTCAGCTGGTAATGAACAAGTCTCTAAGATACTTGGGATTATACTGTGCTCAAGGAAGAGGGCTCTCATGTACACTCATATCTCGCCCACTCTAAGCTGGAAATGACCTCAAATGCTTTTGCTTCACAGGCAATAAGCATGCAAGGTCAAAGCAGGAACATGAGGACCGCCTTTTCGCAATTCTTGCACAAGTGATCTGACCACTGAATCTCATCCAACAGCATCTAAAGCAGATTGTTTGATCAGTACTATCTATTTAATGTATGACCAATTAAGTCTTGATTTAAAGACTGCAAGAGGTGGATATCCATTAGGTGGCTATGTAGTTGCTGCTGATTACCCTCATTATTGGAAATACTTTATTTAATCACATCTTATGGTTTCCTACTGAGTGTTTTCTGTCATTGTTGGCTCCACACACAAACGAGGGGGCTGAGGGCTGGATCATATCCACTGTAAAGGAAATCTGTAACCATTGAGACATTTCTAACCCAGGCATGCATTATGCTCTAAAAGGAACTGACTATATCCTGAGGACCCTTGAGTTGCACAATTTCATTGAAGAAGTGGTATCCTTTTTATTTTCCTTAGAAAAATGTTGCTTGTGAATCATTTGCAGTCTGACTGGCTATATCCCAAACCACCCAGTTTTGTTAGTACATTCAGTAATTGTTCGTTTTTTCACAGCAGATGCATCATGCTGTAATCCTTCTGGCTACGTTGGCCATGTTGTCTTACATTCCTGCACATAGCTGGAGCCACTCAACATGATTCTCCCAGTGAGCCTTGACAACCTCTTCAGAGCTTGTTAAGGAAGAAGGAAAGACTAGATCTTAAAGGCTAAAAAGAACAGATTGATTTTATTATTATTATTTTTTTTTAACAGGGAAGATTTGATTTTAATAGAACCAAAGAAATACAAAACCAAAACAGTGGAGCATCAGAAAAATGCATGTTTTCCAAACCCTGTTGCCTAGCAACCCAATGTTTATCCATCTAAAATATGGGAGGAGATCATATGGTAATTTTACCGAATGCTCTTGAGGATTGTGTGCATTCATGTTTGTATACTATTGCAGTCTGCAAGGTTGGTTTGATCACAGCTTCAAGACTGAATCATTAGATTTTTTTAAAAGCTATAGAAATAGTCTCCCTCTTCCTTTTCGGATAAAGTTCTAGGAGAAGTGTTCAGTATGTTCCCTTTCATTTCAGAGTTACCAGAAACTGTGCAGCAGAGTGCCACAAGCAACACAGCTGGTCTCTGTGTTCTGCCACAAATAAAACAACAGCTAAGGAATGAAGATTGTTACCATGGCAAATTAAACAGGAAAGCAGCAGAGAGCCTCTTAGTCAACGATGGGGATTTTTTGGTGCGAGAGAGCACATCATCACCTGGTCAGTATGTCCTCAGTGGACTTCAGGGAGGGCAAGCAAAGCATCTTCTCTTGGTGGATCCTGAGGGCAAGGTATGAACATTTCATATATGGAAACCTGAGAGCTGCTCAGCGATTTCACTGCAAAATGATTTCCTGGACATGGAATTAATCTGATTCCCTTCAAGTTAATTTAAATTGAGCCAGTGGGTGACTTCGGTAGCTTTTAAAGTTCAAGAACTTATAAGTGCTGAAGCACCATGGAAATAGAAGTGAGGTACTTAAATATTGCTGTAGTCCAGGTGCTGATAATTAGTGCACACTTAACGTATCCTTTGAGTCATCAGTATATTGCTTGAAAAATAACCCTAACATTAAATAATGAAGTTGGTTAGTAATGTACTTCTAGATACAGAAAATATAGAGCTGGCTTGATGTCAGCTGAATTCTGCTTTTTTCTGCTTGGAGCTAGAAGAGCACTATTAAGTGAAAATCCTCAAATGAGGCATAAATCAAAAAATAAATTCTTAGTAGGAATTAGGGAAAAATGTCTCCTTCCTGTGGAGGAAAAAAAAAAAAAAGGTTTATTTTGTTCCCTTTAGCAGAATCAGCCCAGTTCTATACATTCAGTCTCTTGATAAGTCAGAGGATAAGTCTGAATTGCTGTCTACAGCCTAATGATGCTGCTCCATTGAGTTCAGTGGCTTAAATGCATTTTGACTTCAATGGAATAGGCTCGCATCCAACCACTTTCAAGCACAGTATAACCTTAAATACAATCTTTTGCTTCTTTCATCAGGTGAGAACCAAAGACCATATATTTGATAGCGTGGGTCACCTTATTCAATATCATATGGAAAATAATTTGCCAATCATCTCTTCTGGAAGTGAAGTGAGCTTGAAGCAGCCTGTAAGGAAAGAGAGTAATATGGGACACTTGCATTATCACAAATAATCCCTTGGATCTCACAAACCCCAAGACAATTTGTATCTGGAAACTTCATTGACTATTATAAAACTTCATATTACGAAGACAGTTCAAAAGGAATAGACTGCACTTTCTACTGCTGTTCCAGAAGATATCCTTTTGTGTGTGTGTATATATGAATATATGTATATGTGTATATCTATGTAGATCTATAGAGATCAATAAGCATAGTTATATAGATATATATAATCTTAACAAAATTACACCTTCAGAGTGTGAGATTCATTTGCGAGAGGATATTTTAGACATGCACAAATGTCACTTTCAAGGTCATACTGAATCAGTAACTATTTAAAAGCACAATCAAACCTCTACATGTAAAAGCTCACTTGAATGAACCACTGGAACATTAGTACGTGCCTTTTAGGTTAGAGTTATTGGAAACCAATATTATTTATACTGAATTAGTTTTGGATGGTTAAACAAACATGTCTAACCTTTTCGCTATTTGCCAAAACAAATGCAATTTGAATATTGCTAAAATATCACCTGCTTTCAATAGACACTAACAATCTCATTTTGCTTGTAACAGCACTTTACTAGCAAGTAATGTTTGAAATGAATGGTGTTCACAATACAAAAAGATTGTATGGTTTCTTGATTATTTTTTATCACTGACAACTCAAAGACTGAGATTATGCAATATTTACAGAGTTGAAATTGATACGTGTAATATAATTTTGGAATAGAACTTACTAAGGGGCAAGCATGCTAGATCCTAATATTTTTGTCTTGCATAAAATTTTACTATTATTACCAATTAATACCGGAGTAATCTCTTTTTAAAAGTAGGCTAAATATATTTTCATTAATTACATAGCTGTTTACAAGCTAGAAAAGCTGAACAAAACTAATGATACATTTTGAGAGAAAACTATTTAAAAGACTGTTTGAACTGTGCATGTGCCCTTATTCAGTATTCTTTCCAAAACAATATATGATTTCCTCTTTATTCACGTAGAGTTCAATTGTTCCTAAAGTCTTTTAAAGGAAAATTATCTATTGTTTGGTCACAATAAATAATCTAAATACAAACACTCGTATATTCCCAGTTCACATTAGTTTCTTGGGCTTCCTGTTGAAGAAACTGATTTAGTAGGTAACTGAAAAAAAGGGAAGATAGATCTGGGAAATTAGACTGAAAGTCCAGGTAATAGCCTGAGAAAGTTGTACGTTTAAGATAAGTAATGTCTTCTGGCACTGGCAGGGACATTCTCTGTCTCCTAGCCTACCAACATAGTTCTGTCAGGTAGACAGTTTTTGACCAATTAGCAGAAGAAAATATTTGACTATTAAGAAAAAGTTATCTTCATGTTAAATGGGACAGTATAGTAAGAGCTCTGTCCTCTGGAAAACAAAAGGAGTCATTTGGACTAAAAAATTGAGGACATAAGCTTTCTTAGAGAATATGATGTAAAGAGCCACATTTAGAGCAGTCCATAATTAGCTTTACTCTTCCTCAGCTAAGCAGGCACAAAATATGCTTCATTCCTTGAGAACAACATGATATTACATATAACTGAAGAGGTGAGAAGCTTTAAAATATTGGTGCCTGATCTCCTTGGATAATACTCTGGCATTAAGAAAAAAAAAAAAAAGAGAAAAAAAAAAGGTCCCTAAAAGAAGTTCTTGCTAAAGTTTTGTACCAGCGCAAGGTCAGATGGACAGAAACTCTAAGTTTGGGATAGTAAATGCCTGCATAGTTTCCTTTCTATTCTTAGGTCTTACTGAACTTCATACAGTGTAAAATGCTTGATGTGAGTTCACTGATCAAACTGAAGCAAAAATAGCTACTTCTGTGGTATGCCAAGGGGACAGGAAGACCTGCATAAGGTGACTTTGATGTTTTCATCAAAGGTGAATTTTCTAACAGGTCATAGAAAGCAAATATGCTGAACTCTGTTTTGTAACAAAAATCACAGCTACTGGTGACTAGAATAATACTGTTTTGAGTTGGGATAGCTTGAGTTCAAAGCTGTATTAATTTGGCACTCAAAATACTGACTTAAGAACTTTTTCACTCCATCAATTTTCACTTTACCAGTGCAAAAACATCCCGAGTGTGTATGTGACATTTGGAACACTGTGTAACAAAGTCTTGCTCTATGAATACCACAAACTGAAACAAAAGTAAGACCAGAATCTTTATTTTGTTGCTCCTGAATCATTTGTGTATGAAGTAAAACTATGAAGGAAAAGGGAAAGAAGTGTGAATTAACAGGGCAGTGTTGCAACAGTGTAGTGATTGATTTAACACTGATCACAGCTAAGTACTCCTCCTTAACAGAATGGGAGAGTGAAATATATGATAGAGAAAGGGTTTGTGGGTTGAGATAAAGACAGGGAGATCACTCACCTATTACTATAGTGGGCAAAACAGACTCAGCGTAAGGGCAATTGATGCAATCTGTTGTCTATTAATAACAGACTGTAGAAGCGAGAACTAAAATCAAGGCAAAAACACCATCCACCCCTTCTACCCTCCTTCTTCCTGAATGGCACAGAGGAACAGGGGCGGTGATAAGCCCGTAACACTTTGTCTCTGCTACTCTTTCTTCCCCACTCTCTGCCCCTGCTGTAGCATGAGGTCTCTCCTGTGGGATGCAGTCCTTCCTGAACTAATCCCACATGGGCTCTCCATGGGCTGCAGCCTCCTTCAGGCCACATCCACTGCTGCACTGTGGGTTCCTCCGTGGGTTGCATCCCTTTTTTCTGGAGTGGAACCAGGAATTTGGTTTTCAGTTTCTAACACCTATGTGCCTCTACTTGCTTATTAACGCTGCTTATCTCCTCCGTGGATCGCCTCCTGTAAATTATGGCATCTCCCATGCAGTTATGTCAAATTTAAAAATATCTGAATTGTGGAAACTTTTCCAAAACATCCATCTTGAGAAGGTTACTCTGAACTTTTGGCACACACAGACTTCTTTTTAAAATAACTTCATTTAGACTTCATTTAAAACTACTAGTGGAAATACTGAGGAAATTGCAAGCATTGGTTAATCTCTGCTGTAATGGTTACTAGCACCCTTGGGAAAAACAGCTAATGTTGCCTATAAAGCCCCATTTACAAGGCTTAGCATGTTAATTCCATTTCAAAGTGTCTATAAATTTCACTGAAACACATTAATACGCGTATCTGCTTGCTTCCATCAATAAAAATACTACAAGAAATGACTGAGATGCCTCTCCCCAAACCCAGCTTCCATTTTCAGCTTTTGGACTTTTCACAGCTAAGGCTGAGTGTCACCAGATGGAGCTATTACATATTTTCCTCATTGCTGAACAAAGCGGTCATTGTTTGAAAAAAGTGTTTTTTTTTTTTTAATTTATTTTGGATGTTTGCTGCAGGCTATTCTGCATAAGGAGTTTGTGAGCTCACAGAAACTTGTTTTTTTTAGATAGATTGTGGCCAGGCCCGGAGGCCATGTGACTCCATGTGACACAGCCCCCTGAGTGCAGCCACTTTATGGCTGTGCCCCTCCAGGGCTTCAGGTGACAATGCGGACATCTTGTGCCATTGCCACCCTGCCAGCACAGCACGGCGAAGGGAACAAAGGGTCAGCATGTGGCAGCTGTGTGACGAGTGGGGTGACAGCAGCCCCTCAAAACACGCCCTACGGTGAGAAATGCTTATGCTGTGCCGCCAGCTCGCACCATGACGTGGTCGCCACCATGGAACGTCGCGCCGTCGGGCTGTGACGTCACGAGGGCACCGCTCTGATGACGCCACCGCGCTGTTGCCGGGCAACGGCCACGTCCCGCTGCGAAATGGCGCCGCTGCCCGCCCGCTTGCCCGCCTGCCGTGCGCGCGCACTCCCCCATCTCCGGAAAAAGCCCGCCCCTCCGCAAACAGGCCGCAGCCAATTGGTCTGTCGCTTAGCCAATCAGCGCGCCAGACCCTTTCCCGCGGCCACGCGCGCCTGCTTTCAAACAATCAGGCCGGCGGGTCTGCAGCGCAGCCGAGTGCGGCTGGGGCGGGGCGAGGCGGTGCGCAGAGGCCGCTCGTCTCTTCCTGCGCCGCGATCCGGCGCTGCTCCGGCTGCTGGTTGGCGCGCGCGGCTGTATGTCAGAGCGGCGGGCGCACGTTCGGTTGTCATGCGGAAAAGCGGCGGGGCCGCTGTCGTTGTGTCGGAGGGGAGGCGGACTGTCGTCTCTCCCCGCACCTCAGGTGAGTGGCGGCGGCCGGGTCCTCTTTCGCTTCTCCCGGAGGCCGGCAGGGAGGCTCTTCCCGCTGCGCGTGGCTGCGGGGCGCCGGCGCCGCGCTGAGGGAGAGCCGGGCCTCGGGATGAGGCCGGCCTGCGGGGCGGAACAGCGCCTCGGGGCCCGAGCCACAGCGGAGTGATGCTGAGGTTGCTGGGTCTCGCCGCGAAGCGCTTTTCGCCTGGAGCCAGCCCGGTCCTTCGCCGAGCTGTAGTGTGCTTCACCTTCGCTGAGCTGTAGTGTGCTTCTGCTTGGAGCAGAGCGCGATCCGTGCCTAGGAATAAGCGAAGCAAGAGTGTCTTAATTATAGTAACTTCGTGATAAAAGCGCTCGGGTTCAAATTAAACTATTTAATTTGCTTTAAATAGTGAATTCTTAGAAATAAGTATCGCTCATACTGGAAAACAAATTCAAGTGAATGATACATCTAACATGCAGTGTAACTTTCAGAAAGACATTTGTCTGTTTGGCTCCTTAATTCAGGAGCTTTTTGGAATACGTTTATTTCCTTTTCATCACGTGTGATACTTTCCTGTTTTGTGATAGGTTTCCCTGGGAACTGGAAAATACTGTTAGAGCACAATGTCCCTCGACTTTGATAGTGGGGCTCTGCAGACTCAGCATGAAGATGAAGACTATGACCAAGAGGACTATGCGAGAGAGCAAGAGGTTAGAAAAAAGTTAATCTGAAGGCTTTTGTAACTAGTATCCCACAGTTTATTGTCCTTTTTATTAATTTACGTTTTACTCTTATAAAGAGAACGTAGAACAGCGTGGGCTGTGTTTTGCAAGAGTGATGTAAAAACTGAAGAGATAAGAAGATGATGCACCTAATGAGCCCTGTAATGTTACATGTAGAGGCTGGAAGGCCTTGATCATCTCTTGCCTAGGCAGTAGATAGGATGCTAAAAGCTGCTGTCACCTACTTTTTGCATTGTTCATAGCTTTTTCATGCATTGTAATTACTTGGCAACAGCTGTAATCTGATAATCTAAGAAAAGAAATGAAGAACCACTTCCTCATTCCTTGTTTGCCACATCTACATGGTGGCCTTTCACTTATCTCTTGTTAGGAAAAGTCTGCACCAAAAAATTTGCTAGAAACATCACTAAGTTAATCAGTAGTCTGTGAAGCCTTGTGGGGTGTAAGTCTGTGAATTCCTGTGCTGTGAACGAGTGACTTCTTTTCAGTGAAGGAAAAAAAACAGGATTTTGTGCTAGCAGCTTATTTAATATATGTCTGCCAAATTTTAGTTGAATGTATGTTGGTTTGTTCTGTTTCAGTTGCAACAGCTGTTGACAGACCTTCCCCATGATATGCTGGATGACAGTGGAGACCAGCTCTCCAGCTATTCGGACTCTAGCATTCATGAGACTGAGGAGCAGTAAGGCTTTTTGTACTACGTTTTTTTAATTATTTTTTAAGTCGTGCTTTTGAGAATAGAACCAAATCTCAGCTGATCGTAGAATCCTTAGAGATGGAAAGGCCCTTTAAAAATCATCTAGTGCAACTGTCCTACAATGAATGGGGGCATGCACAGCTAGATCAGTTTGGTCTCAAAAAGCCTCCAAGGATGGGACATCCACCACCTCTATAGCCAACCTGTTGCAGTGCCTCACCAGTCTCACTGTAAAAGACTTTTTCCTTATATCCAACGTTAATCTACCCTCTTTGAACTTGAAGCTATTTCCACTTGTTCTATCACCATACACCCTACTAAAGGAGGTGTACAGAAAGCAGTTTAAGTAAAAGGCCTGCTGTACTGCAGTATGGTTGGGGCACCTCTTAATTTAATGAAGTGAGCTGTTGTTGTTGCTGCATTCGTGTTTCTTTTTTTTTTTTTTTTTTTTTAAGTACCATAACTAAGCTTTTTGTCTTTTTCTAGGTCACAGGAAGCTCGAAAGCCTGATGGAAGGTGGAATGATCATCTATTGATAACTGATGCTCAAAATGTAAGTTTGTGTAAACTGTGATATAATGAATAGAGACTACTTGTGGATGATTACATACTAAATATTCTTTAAATTCACTAGAGAAGTAGTTCTACCATAGGCAGCATGCTCTGCTTTTCATTTGAAATAGTTCTCCCTTGAGAGCTGGTAAGAAAAAATTTGAGTTTTCAGAGAGCAAATGTTAATTCTCTTATTCATTTATAGGGTTATGAGCAAGGACAAAATCTGTACCCTGACCAATTCTTGTGTGACCAGCAAAATGACCATGTTGAAAAACATGCCAAGAATTGGAATGGCTTGCATAACAGCGATCAGATGAAACATTTATACGATGTGAAAGAAGATTACTCTGGACAGAACAGTCAAGAAGATGCAGATGATGTCTATCTTGATAGAGATGGATTTAATGCTCCAGGTTGCTACCAGCAGAGCAATTTATATCATCTTCCTGAGAACTTCAGACCATACACTAATGGCCATAATCCAGAATTTAACAGTCAACAGAATCAAATACTAAACTTTCCCGATGCTCCAAAGGAACATCTTAAGGTATTTTAGAAGCTGATGTATTTTACTGACTTGGTGAAAATTTTCATAGGCTTTGTTGCTGATAGTAATATTTCCAGATGCTTTTAATCTGTTATTATCAGTTGAAACAATGATATAAGGTTTCTGTAATCAATTTTGCATATTAAAACAGGAAAGTGTTAAACATCAGAGTTTTTATATATCCACATTACTATTTTTTCCTCATTGGCTAGCCAGAAATCCATGAGGAGAAATGAATGCGGTGCACTGAAGCATGTGTTTACTCAGTTGAAATTGAAGGCTAAAGCAGAAGCCTCTGTTACGGTTTTTATTTTTACAGTTGAATGATATCCTGTATAGGATTCTGTAAATGAGAAGAGGAGATACTAAACCTCTTCTTGATATCAACCAGTAAAACAAAAAGGAAAATTATTTTAATTGAGGAATCTACATTTGTAGCTCTCATTTCTTTATTCTTATATATTGTCACAGCAGCCGTTTGTTACATCTGAAGTTGTTAGTGGCCAGTCAGCAGAATCTTACAAAGTGATGTATAAACCTTACCAAAATGACGTTCATAAAAAAATTCCAGTAACCCAAGAAGGAACGAGAAGAAACGAAGTGTATGAAGATTTGCAGCATGAGTTCTCAGGCAATGAAGAAAGTAAGCAGTTTTTATGTAGACTTGAAACAGAATTGAAGCTTGTGTTAAAAGTCTGCTGGAAATCAACAGCAGGTTATACATATCAGATGTTGATCATAAACATGTTTTATTTTGCTCTGAGCAATGGAGTTCAAAACCAACAGAGCTATTTGAGTAATGTGACTCAAACATGGATAGAAAATAATGCACTTCTCTGAACTAACAATGAATTTGGCTCTTTATGGAAAAGCTATATATTGTGTCAAGAATTGCTTATGATCCCAACCTGTTTAATTGACTGCACTAATTTGTCGGTACGCTCCGTTTGAAATTCTGGCAGATTCTTCAGAGAATATGCAGATTCTTCAACTTAAAGCTCTAAATAAAGCACGAGAGAGACGAGTGGAAGAACTTAATGAAAAGCTAGAAAACAGTGCACAGCAGATTAGGTATCTGAGCCATCAGCTTTCAATGGTCACAGGTAAAATATTGTACTGATATCAGATTTTAGATTTTATCCATATCTAACAACTTGTTTGTTCTGGTGCTTTGACTTAGTATCACGCAATTATTGTTCTTCTCTCTCAAGGTGAAAAGGATGGTTTGGCTGTTAGTCTTCATGAATCTCAAAAACTCTATCAGAATGGAAAAGAACGGGAAGTGTACCTTGAAGGCCAAATAAAGGCGCTTGAAACTCAAATTCAGACTCTTACTACCAATGAGGAGCAGGTACTGTACACATTATTAAACTGTTTATTGTGAAAGATCTTTACAGAATATTTGTAGTGCAGTCACATTAAAAGTAAGTGCCAGTCTCCTGGCACGCAGTGCGTGATGATTGCAGGTGAATCAATGGGGTGTATTGGTGGAAAAACAGTTTGTATTAAAATCCAGGCAGCAACAAGAATTTTAGCAACTCTTGCACAAAAGAACTGAATTGACACACAGAATATTGGAGCAAAGGTAAAATGTTTGTGAGCTACTCTAGTACTATTCCTACAGATATTGAAGCAATCCAGGGTGGCAGAAGTAGCCATGGAAAGCATGCAGAAGCAGCTGTTAGAACTTCAGCGATCAGACACTCTTCAGCGAGCCAGAGAACAGCACGATGCTGTTGTTACAGCACTCAAGCAGAAGCATGAGAAGCAAGTGCTATCATTAGAGCAGAAACTTGATACTACAAAATCTGCACTACAGGAGCAGGTGAGAAATTATTATAGGGTACTGAGTACTCTTCTGAATGCTCTGGACTTATAATCTGAAGAGCTCCATATGAAAGGTATTAGCTAAAGAGGAAGAAAATACTGTGCAAGTCTCAGCATTATGAAGCCTGTGTGATATGTGTTTATAAACATCACTAAACAGTTAGAAGTTATAATGGCCTATATAACAGATGCAAAGAAGGCTGCTTTACCAGAGGAGGCAAGAGTTCATTGTCTTAATGTCCCTCCTGAACGTTATTTCTATGCATAGTCTTTTCTTGAGTTGAATACCTGGGAAATCTGGGAAAGAGAAGCACTACTTAGACTGGGTTTTATAATCATGCAACATGTGATACACAGTAACAGTCTGTTATGCCGTGAAATGCACAGGTTGCTCTGAAAGTAATGTCTCCTGCTTATTTCCATAGAAACTACAGCAGATACAAAGAGCACAACAACACTTTGATAGAGCACATTCTCAGATACCAAATGCTATTTTTCAACACAGTTACCACCATTAGCTATGCATTTTTGCAGGTGATGAACTGCCTGCAAATACATGTTGTGCTTGTAAAAATCTGTTCCAATGAAGGTGACTCACTGTTTCACAGATGCTATGATGGCATCATTGCTAGGAAAATGTTACCCACGTAGTCCTTCATAGGCCTGACCATATGGAAGGTGCCAAGCCCAGATTATGCGGTGAGTGTGGTAGGATGCTGTAGCCAAGATTGACAATGTGCTCAACCAACTTCAAACTTGAATGGGCCCTCCTGTTATCATATTGCAAGGGAAAGTTTTTCTTTTTTTTCCCTCTGTGTGGCTCCAGCTTGAAGGCTTCAGCTTACTCAGTGCTATGATTTTTGATCTGATTTGGTGCTTTGTCCAGATTCTGAGAAATCCAGAATGATTACCCTTTTCCTATCCCAAAAGAGAGTGTGTATTACTTAACCTGCTAAGTACTGCAACTCAGACCTTTTTTTTGATGGGGAATTCAGATCTCCCCCAGCCATGGACTGCTGTTTTGAGTCTAGCTTGTAGTGGTGACACCATGTATGTATCATAACTGGTAACGATGTCACCTTCAGCTTCATATTGATTCAGTAGGTCTTGACAAACTTGCATATTGTGGTTTTTTTTTCTGTTCCTGTGTGAGCATTCACAGGACCTTCCTGGCACAAACTGCAGTATTCTAATGTTGCCGCCTTTGATTCCAGTGCATTTGTTCACTTCTGTTTACAGTTCCCTGGTTGTAAACCACTGTCTTGTGCTGATGATCTGATGGAGATACTCCTTGTTTTGTGATGTGACAGCTACACGTGGCCATCCAGATCATGGCTTGTCTTTCATGTCACTGTTGCTACTGCTGAAATGCAGCACTCACTGCCTCACTGATCTCACATCCACTGTTTGTTCTCCATAAATGTTAAGCAAGTGTCAATGAATGTCATTGGCTGTGATATTTTATTTTATTTTATTTTATTTTATTCCTACATGGAGAAACTCAGTGACACACCTTTGCTTTGTATGTTCTTCCACATCAGATGCCATTTTGCCATGCTGCCCCTCAGCTGCCATCTGTCACATGATAACAAAATGTAATGGAATACTGGCAGGGAGTTTCAATCTCAGCTGCCATATCACCAACATCTGCCTCTGCTATAAGCCAGCATAATAAAATAGATATTACTGCCCTTCTGTATTCAAACAATGCACTCTAGTTGGACATTGATAAATTGTCTTCTTTCGTATAAAGAAAATAGAATTAAAGAACTTTCATTCTATGCCTGTAGTTTTGAATCTTAACATAAAAATGCATGAAAATGGGCTGTGCATTTGGAAAGTTAACTATCTTATTTTGCATAAGAGAAAGCACTGCTTCTAGTGAGCTCCTGGTTTTAAAAAAAGATAAGTTGAAAGGAGGTACAATACCTCATCTTTACACCTAGCTAAATGTTGCCATATGGAGGACTTCCTATCACATGAAAAATTACATTTCTTGTTTTACACTGCATTGAAACTTACTGGCTTGGCTTAAGCTCTGTTGACTTAAGCTTGGGCTGAGAACTCAGTACATGTCACTAATCACAGGGCCTATCTGACGTGCTAAGAACACACTGCTCTAGGAAGCACAGGACAGTGTGCATCCATGTTTGTTCTTACATGGGTATACTTACTGTTTCTTTGTGGAAACTCAGTTGCTCTGAGAGATCACTTGTCATTATTTTGGATGGTTCAGTGTTTGTTGCATGAATAAAAACAATTCTTCTTCCTAGAAAGAGCTTTGCCAAAATCTAGGAGAGCGTGTTAAGGAACTTGAAAAAATGCTGGAAGAAACCAAATGTGAAAAAACTGAAATAATAAATCGATTGACAAGAAGTCTTGAGGAAAGCCAGAAGCAGTGTGCAAACTTACTGCAAACAGGTCAGTCTTTTCCTCACACCATATCTTCCCATACACAAACAACTAAAGCATGCTGTTGCAAGTCGGTGCTCAACATCAAGCTGAATGTATAGTGGACTACTAAACAAATGTTATGCTACTACAGATGCTTTCTTCATTTAAAAGTATTTTAAGAATACTTTAGTGTTATCTGTCGTGAATTGGTCAATAGTAGCTGATCTGTCAGCATGTGCCTGGCAATTTCAGCCTTTACATGCTTAGTACCTTGTACTGTCAAGCACGTTTAAAACATATCCACTATTAAATCAGTGGAAGCTTGGGTGCTTTTTGTGCTGTTAAAATCTATTTATTCATTTTTCTTACATGCCTTTTCAAGTTTCATTTGGCATAGATGTCTATTCACAAATTCTGTAGTTGAAATAAATAAAAGCTGGTGTGAAAAAAAAAAATAGTAGTTGCAGAACTGAAGCTTTTAATTCTTGGGAAGTTTCAGCATGAGCAGCCATGCTCGTGGTTTTCACTAGTTAGGTCTTTATGAAGCAGAGCTTTACTGTTGTACAGTAAAAAACTCAGTATGAATTGCTATGCTAAATGCAAATGTTTAAGAAGTTTTCTTGCAGCTGGAGACTGCTTCTGGACAATTTCAATCAGTAGGAACAGTGTACAGAATTTTCTGCTCATTATGTGTATGTCTTGTGGCTCCCATTAGATATGGAAATGTTTTAATAGTTGTTTGCTATCTAGGAAAGGACAACATAACTTACTGAAATGCCTTTCTTGCCAGATCCTGGATTTAAGTATATGTTCTGCTTGAGAACTGTGGGAATCTGGAAGAAAAGTCTGTCCAGAGAGAGCATGGTGGTGAGGATGGAGGAGAAAAAACCTATTAGCTGTGTATAATGTAGAAACTATATAAACGATTTTTAAGAGTTGAACTGCCAGCTGGAATACCATCATGACTTTTTCCTCCATGCCTTATTCATCAGAAGCCTTACACCAATAATAAATTGGCAAACTCTTAGAACAAAATTCCTTATCTCTGGAGGAGCCAAAAGTTTTCCAACGCTGTCCTGTTCCTGCTCACTTTGCACAGTTTTGTGTGTGTTTTTTGTTTTTTTTTTTTTTTTTTTTTAAATTCTAATGAGCTACACAGAAAGCAAACCTTTGGCACATCTTGCTTCTCATAGTATTTGTTTTACAGCTACAATAAAAATTGAAAAAATTAAGTCAGCATAGTTCCCAAAGTTGAATTCAAATTGTCACTTAAATTGGAGATCAGTAGTAGCCCAAGCTCACCTGTTTGGTGCAGTGAGTATTCTTGCCATTGTTCTTTGTGGGGTTTTTTTTGTTTGTGTTTTGTTTTATTTAGATCACATGGTCTTTCTTTCATATTTATGCTTTGCTGTTTTTCTGTTTGTTTTTCTTTTCTTCCCTGCAATAGGCTCCATACAGGAGGCAAATCAGTTACGGTTTCAGTTGCAACAAGCTCAGTCTGCGCACATGATAAGCAATAACCTGAACAAGGCTTTGCAGGTTAATTTCTTTTATTAAATATTTCACATTTAATTAGGTTTTGATTTTAGAGGGGTGAGCATTGTAGCTGACAGGCTGGTGGTTTCGTACATATACCTGTGTGTATGTAGGTACAAGTCTGACATCGTGCGTCTGACCCGCTTGTGGAAAAGGAAGCACATAAATTCAGTGTGTTGGGAATGTCATAAGTTGGCCTGTAGGGAAGACTGTGGGTTTTATTTTCTGAAATTTTTTGATGTGCCATCAAGAAGAAATGCTAAGGAGTCCTCTTAAATACCACTGGGCGTCTGTGTTTCCAGTTCAGTAAGTGATCTCTTTAGATCTATCATCTTAAAGCAAGGAACCCTAACAGGTACTAGAGTATGAACTGTGTATGCTTTTTGTATAGTAAAATGAACAACGGGGCATCACAAGGAAAGAAGTAGTAATATTTAATTTCATGTATGAACCGTAAGATCAATAGAATGTACTGAGCAACAGAAAATATTAACTGATTAATTTGTAGTTGTTGTATGTTATGCTTTGCTATCAAAATGATTGGTGTTAAAAAAAAAAATAGAACGCTCAAGAAAATACAACTGGTGTATAGAAAGAATAACTCCATGTATTTGTTTTCTTTGTAAGAATCATAGTCTTGATACATTTGCTTAGAGTTTCTCTGCTCTATTATTTTTTCATCTGTTCTTTTAAGGATGAATTAATGGAACTGAAGGAAGAAATAACTTTGTATGAATCTGCTGCCAAACTTGGAGTATTTTTGAGTGATGCAGGTGGAGAGCTGCAAGCGAACCTCAGTGATTCCTGTGTAGATTTGGGGATTAAAAAAGTCACCATGAATAACTCAAGGTTCTGCAGGTACTGAGTAATTCTTATTGGAAAAAAAAATCTGAAATCTTCCATAACTTACACAAGCAATGTGTAAATTCAATTTTTTACTTCCTATTTTTATTTGTGATAGATACTGCTTGTATCCACAGGTAACTGGGGAAATAGGAATTTGAATTCAAAGTGTTATGTTGAATGGCTCATCATTGCTTAATGCATACTTAGGTTTCATTAGGACTACGTTATTGTTCCTTGAGTGTGATTCCTTTTTGGTGTTCCTGGAGTGATTCTTTTTTTTTTTTTTTTTTAATCAATTGCCATGAGAGTTCAGCAGAAAGCATTTAACATGTGCAACAAAGTAAGGAGTGTTTTCACTTGTGATGCTTAAGAAGCAGTCAGTTGCATGGCATGGGAGACTGGCCTTGTGTTCTTCAGGACTTGAACTCTGCTTCATTAACTCTTCCTGTAAAATCTGAAATATGTCATAGGGAATGTAGCAGTATACTTGAGTAACTGATCTGCATACGGAGTGCCACTGAATTTCTCGACAACAGGCAGACATATCTTTAAAAAGTGGAAAAATTCTGTTTTCCTGCTTGCATTATGCTTGCTGATAACTATTTTGCCAATTGTATGGATGTGTGCATGGTTTTGCTCCATGTGACTACTTCATGCTCATGCTTTCTCTATAGCAAGTCATCCTGAAGTACTTTGTGTCATGTGAGAATGGATCTTCTAGGAGAAACAGCAGAATGAAGGTGTTCTGTGTACGTGAATTGCAGCTTAATGAAAAAGCATGAGGCTTTTGTGTTCATGTTCTCACATCCTTTTTACTCTTATCCCGTAGAGCTGAACTTCTGTATTTGTGGTAGTATCATTTGCTCTTCTTGCTAAGACTGACTTCTGGATAAGTGTTTTGTCTTCTGAATACTGAACTGGTTATGTTCTCCCTAATAGTATAATACAGAACAGAGACATGGATAAAGAACTCTCTAAAGATGAAATTATTGTAGAATTAAAAGCTGAACTGGAACGCTTATTGAGCAGTAATAAAATGAAGAGAAACCAGATTACTCAATTACAAAATGATCTTAAAGATTGCCAGAAGAAGTTAGAAGAATTCAAGCAGTTGTTGAAAGCAGAAAAAGCATCAAAAGATTTGGAGGTTTGTTCTTTCACATATTTTTCAAGTAATGTTGTAATTTGTATTATGGTTTAATAAATCAAAGCAACATTTAAATTTCTTATGAAAACGAGACAAAAAAAATAATGAAAGTTATGTAGCAATTCATAGTAATTAAGTAGATTTGCCTTTGATCTTAAGGGAAATATTGTTGTTTTGGTGATACCTTGTTTTGTATCTGTGGTGAGAAAGAAAGAAACTGAATAGCATAACTTGGGCAGAATATGTCTTTTTAAGTGAGTTCTGATACAATAATTTACTTGCCTGATAGTGGTGGTATAATTGATGGGTTGTCAAACAAATTGCTTCCTCATAGCATTCGCTCTCTAATTTGATCAGTCCTTTCATGGGCTGCATAAAGGAGGCACAGCCAGCCGGCTGAGGAAAGGTGATTGTTCCCAATCTACTTAACCATTGTAAGTCCTCACCTTCAGTGTTGCATCCAGCTCTGGGACCTGGAGCACAAGAAAGGCGTAGACCTGTTAGAGTGGGCCACAGAAGTGTTCAGAGCTGGAGGACTTGTGTCTGGAGCTTCTCTTTTAAAAAAGGCTGAGAGAGCTGGGGTTAAGTCTAGAGAAAGGAAGGCTCCAAGGAGACTCTGTTGCAGCCTCTCAGTACTTAAGTGTTGCATGTAAGAAAGGTGAAGAGATTTTTGCAAGGACACCTAGTGATGGGATAATGGATAATGTTTTGAGTTGAGAAAATAATAGATTTAAGTTACATATAAGGAAAAAGATTCTTTGCTTTATGATGGTTGCAAGGCACTGGAACAAGTTGCTCAAAAGTTGGGGGTGCCTCATTGCTGGAAGTATTCAAGGTCAGGTTAGATGGGGCTGACTTTGTGGGGGGTATCCTTGTCTATGGCAGGGATTGGACTAGATCTTTAAAGGCCCTTTCCAACTCAGACAAATCTGTGATCCATGAAAAATATCTTTAATGCTGTGTGTCTCTTGACCACGTGATTAACTTCAAATTGTGACGTGATTGGAGTTGTAACATGCACTTTTGTAATCCGTGTGTTCTGACCTGGATGTGGGACAGAAATATAGTTTGCTTCAGGGGTGTAGTCTCTCAGCTGGATAACAGCAGTCAGCTAACAAACACAATGTCGAGTACCTACTTTTAGGAATAGCATTATGAAACTTCTGAAGAGTAACAGTGATACCGTTATTGCACTGCTGTACTGTCCTTGCTTCATTTTGCTTTCTGTAAGTAAAATACAGTTGTAACTCTGTAACTCTTTTTAAGGAATCTGTTTCTAGAGTGTGCACCTTTGAAAGTTATCATCTTAATTTTATTTTTTAGCCAGTGACAAATCAAAACAATGCTTTGGTGGCCAGTCTGTTAGATTCTGATAATCTTAAGGAAGAAGTTTTGAGACTCAGAAAGGCAAATGAAACTTTGCTTAGAGAAGTTCAGGTGAGACAAAAATGCTTTGCATTCCTATTAACAAAGAAACAAACAAACAAACAAAAAAACAACAAAAAAACCCCCCAAACCTACAATTATAGAAGATGCCTTAAAACTCACCTGCTACTTGACTCCTTTTTGTGCAGAGCCATGCTTTGACCATTGAAGAACTGAAAGAAAACGAGGAAAAACTGAAAAGCTTAAACCAGGATCTCTGCTGTCAGATGAGAAAGATGGTTCAAGAATTTGATGAGGATAAACAAGAAGCCATTGACAGGTTAAGTCCATTAACACTGTTTAGTTTCTTTTGTGAACTTTGATCCTGCGTGTGTTCATGAGGAGAGTCTGCTTTGGAAATGTAGCTTCTTTGTTCTGAAACAAAAGCTGAACCCCATTTTGAAGAGGATTCCTCACATAGGCAGTGTTTTCCTTTCTTGAAATCATAGGTGTGAAAGAACATATCAGCAACACCATGAGGATACAAAAGCCCAGTTTGAGAAAGACATGATGCAGAGGTATGCTGCAGAAAAACAGCAGCTTATTCAAAGTTATGAAGAGACAGTCTCGCAGCTGAAGTAAGCATTTTCAGTTTTTTCAATGCTGTGAAACATTTGTGCTTCATGTCTGGCCCTTTGTGCTTTTTGAAATGCTCTTTCAAAGCAGTTATATCCTGTGAGTTTAAAAATGGATTGCTAATGTGTGATTTGTACTGTGAAGGGCTACCATAGAGGAGCTGAACAGAGAGATGACTGCAGTGAAGGAGTGTTACATAGCAGTGTGTGGTGAGAAGGACACCTTGGAAACTACTTTAAGACAAATGTTTGCACGTGAGCAGCAGATGAAAGAAGATAAGGTATTATTGCATCATATCATATTAAAGTATTTTTAAGATAAATTCACTATTGTGTATTCCAACTTTGTGAGGGTTCAGGGCAGAGACTTGTTTTAAAATACAGTACTGGTAACTCTTCCTGCAGCTACTCCTTTTCATGTAGTTGTCTTTCCCCAAAATATTGGCTCCTAAAGACAGATCATTCACAGGTGAAGGCTTGCTTTAACTGTTCTATTTTATTATTATTGTTGTTAATTACTGGTGGGTTTTTTCCTAGCTCAAGAAACAGCTTTTAGAAGAAAAAGAAGAATCACTTAGAATTCTGAGAAGTGAGCTTGAGGAGAGATACAGTAATTCCATTGCTGAAGCAAAGAGGCAGTGGCAGAAAGAAAAAGAAGTGCAGATTGAGAAGGAAGTTGCATTTGCCAAATTGCACTGGGAAAAGGAAGAAAAAGAGGTGAGAAGCTTATACTGGGATTCCTGTTTTTTGTTGATTTAACTGGATGAATTTCTTTATTTTTTTGGAGAAAGAGTATATGGATATGTGGTAGTCTTATGTGTTGCTCTTCTGGCATTTGAAGTGGTTGACGAGGAGCTGTTGTTTCAGAAGCCTCTGAAGTCAGTAGGTTTTGCAGGTGATTGTGATCTTTGGAAAATTAGGCTTTATGAAGTAACACTGCAGCATGTAATCACAGCTGTAACATACTGGAGTTTTCTACCCTAATCTGAGGGTCAAAAGTTCAGCTTTCTGTTCTGTTGGGCTCAGTCCTCCTATGGAAGTCTGCTACATGTCTTTCCCCATGGAGGCTAGGTAGAAGAAGGAAGAAAAATAAACAACTCCTTCTGTACTAAATGCCAGTGGAGGTGTAATTTGGAGGGTGCAGGGGAAAGGGGGGGGATGAGGGGTCCAGCTAAGGTGTCCTTTTGAGGGTTTAGGTTTTGATTCTCTTCAGCAATGCTGTATTTGTTAAATACTATTGAAATTCTATTTATATGATGGGGCAGAATGTCTTAAATCTATCTGTCTACACATATATGTTATTTTTTTTCTTAGAAGAAGGAAGACGTCATTGCGAAGATAGAAAGAGAGTGGCAAAGTAGGCTGGAAGAAGTTAAAAAAACTGTGTTTGAATGTAAGGACTGCAGCAGTCAAACAGATAGAGTAACATGTGTGAATGATGCTTCAACTGACGAGTTAGCAAGGATTGTTGAGGATCAGAAGCTGCAGATCCAGAAGGCTCTGAAAGAAAAAAAGGCCTCTGAAGAGGCCTTAAAAGAACTTGAAATAAAACTCGAAAGTAAATACCGTAAACGTCTTGCCAGCCAGGTAACAAATGACTGTCCTGTTTGCCTGGAGTTTGTGTAACTCTCAGGTGCCAATATGCTGAATGGGTCTAGTTATATGTGCCACTGGGTCACCTCAAATTTTATTTTACTTTTTTTAGAAAATATGCTTTTCCTCTGTTTTTTTTTCAAGCTCAGTAGTTGATACTTATTGTATTAGAAATAATAATTAGAATCATATAGCTTTTTCTCTATCTCTAACTTTTTACGTATCACTTGACCACAGCTGGTTGAGCTTTGCAGGAATTTTGAAACATAACTGAGGAAAGCTAAATTTTGTTTATACAGTTTTAATGGAAAGAAGTTTATAATCCTCATCATTTTGGTATCTTCTTTAGCATCTGGAGATCCATTAGATGCAGCTGGTCTGATTGTATTACTTTCTTTAAACATAAGCAGTCCCAACTGAACTCTTGTTTTTAATCTTTTTATAGGTTGAGGCAGCTTTAACCCAAGCACGTGCTAGATCGCTGCAGGAATTAACAGACCTCAAAGAGTACAAGGTAAATCTAGAGACAGAACAAGAAAAGCAAAAAAGGGAACAGACAAACTGCAGCAAAGCTGGTAGCAGAAAATTAGTAGTTCTGAACAGGATTTCCAAATCTTGTATAGAATGGATGAATGCATGTATGTAGGGAATCACTAAGGAATGATGTTTCTAGTATAGTACTGCCTTGATATTTTTTTCTATTTTTGCATTAATAATGATGTTTTTATTAAAGGCTGTAGGAACTTTTCAGTGAACTATATATGTTCTGTATATTTTATATATGTGTGTGTGTTTGTGTAGCTATATAATATATATATGCCATATATATATTTATAATGACTCTATTTTACTTGTTAACTAGTTGGCTTTGGCTTTCTCTCCTGATGAAGAAAAATGGAAGAATGAGCGTGAGAATCCAGAGAAATCTGGATCAATAGTTAGAGAACTTGAGGAAAAGGTAGTTTCTCTCAAGAAAGAATTAGAGCTAAAGGAAGAAGAAATCCCTGTGACTATCAAAGCAGCAGTGGCGAAAGCCCGTGCTCAGTGGAACAAAGAAAAGCAAGAAGAAATTGCACAAATACAAGAGCAAAATGAGAGAGACTACCGATCATTCTTAGATGACCACAGAAACAAGATTAAAGAGGTACTTGCAACAACAAAGGAGGATTTTGCAAAGCAGGTGAATGATCTCTCTGCTCAGAAGGAGGCAGAAATGAAGATGTTACTGGACCAAAAGCAGCGAGACTGGGAGGCTCAGGAAACAAAAAGGCTTCAGGATGAAATTAATCGGTACGAGGAGAAGACTCTGCTTGAGCTTGAGTGTTTGTTGAGAGAAGTCCATGAAGAGCTAGTTAAAAGCACCTATAGTCAGCATTCCTGGGAGGAGAGGATTTCTGATGCTCCTGTTGAATTAAATCATCGTTGCAAGGACAAACTGAAGGCATGCTTACAAAAGGCCTACAGAAGGACAGTTTACAAAATTCTGGAAAAGCATGAGCAAGAGTGGAAAGAGGTAATATTTCAGGGAATTGTAAATAATAGCTGGAGAAGAGATGTGAGAAAACAGATGAGTGATTTGCACCCGTTTTCCCTCACTATATAAAATCCACCTGATCCAGAGAATTGGGGAATCCATCGTTTGCAGTCATTTATAACAAGTTCTTTAGAACTCTGAGAGAGGGCTAAATCTATGGCCAGCAATTTAAGGGATACGATAAGGTATGGTTGTGAGACTCAGTGTTTGTAGTAGAAGACAACCAGATTAGGAGTGTGATTTTTTTTTTTTTTTTTTTTTTTTAATTTATTTTTTTTAATGCCCACGTTGATCAGTTAAGGACATACATCCACGCTCTTAAGTTAGGAGCATCTTAAAAAACTCATAGTGGTTTCTTAGGTTTATAGTACTGTGATTCAGGAATTTCTTTCTGTATGTCAGAGCGGACAGGCAAATAAATGGAGGCATTCCTCTACAGTTCAGTGGAACCCACAGCTGTACAGTAGCGATTGGATATCACATTTCTACTCATTAACTCATCTTCAGGGATGCAGTGGCATACTTTTGGCTAGTGTTTTTAACTGCCCTCGGGGAAAGTCAAGCTAATATAAACATAAACCAAATTTAAAAGTGTACATCTCATCTGATGCAGAATGTTCAGAGCCCTGTCTGTACTTTTTAGCTTCCTGAAAAGATATTCACTGCTATGCCTTCTGTAGACTCTTTAATATTCTGTTCTGACTCAACTGCTGTTCCAAAGTTAAACTCTGGGTGTTATCAGGTACTGCTATTGCAGGGAATTACACTTAGTAACCATTCTCTATGCAAGAGTACCTGTTTCCATCGCTATTCAAGCTGCTCTCTTCAGTTCTAGTTCAAGACTAATACAGCTGGGATGCAAGAATCAGAGCTAATACAGTCCTTTGGGTTGCTTGTTCATCTTCATCCTAGCTTTAATAAATAGTATGTTGTGGAACACATTGTTTGGCTCTTTGTTGGATTTTCAGACAGTGTTCTTTCAATTGCAGAAAAATGAAAAGGTACTGAATAATGCAAATAAAGAAGCCTGCTCCAGCATGCAAGGAGGTGATGGAGAAACTGGGAACATAGCAAGATCCCCTTTTTACAACATTGGACAGCAATCAGAAACACAAAGAAGGCTGAAGAGACGGCATAAAAGTGGGACAGATGGAGGTATTGGGGTTTGTTTTCACTCTGATAGAGCTGTATGTTATCCAGTTAGGCTTGATAAGCTTGAACTTGTGAACATTTGGGTGGTAGAGGGAGATACAGTTGGTCTGATAGTAAGGTTATAGACAGAGGAACACTTTCACCTTTGGTGCTTAAAAGTTTGTATGCAAGCCAGCGCTGAGCCTGGTGAGCAGGATGTGGAGCAAATGGTATCTTGGAGCAGGTAAGTATTAAGGCAGAGCTTTGAAGCCCAAAATCTAAGCTGTCAGGCAATACAAGGAATTGTGCCTTTGCACCAAGGGCACTGTTGTGTCAGGAATGATTCTTCAGCTGGCAAGGTAGTTTCTCCAGTTCTGTTGAGGAAGGGTTTAGTTGCTGAGGAAATGTGAATCCCCTAGGTGATGCTTCTCTCCTCCTCCTCCCTGCTCCCATCTCCCTCCCAGCCCTTGAAACGTGCTAATAGTTGAGCACTGTAGCTTTTCCCAAAGCTGTCCCTTGCAGCTCGTGGTCCTGCCATAGTGCGTAGCTGGGGAAGAACTTCATGGGAGGCACAGCAATGTCTCTGG